TAACTAATTGAAATAATTATCATAATAATTGATCCAGGACTAATTAACAAGGATTTAGAAAAAGTAATTTGTGGAACCATATTGCTTGAATGATAATGTTCATATCCTGTATTAAAATAAAACAATGAACAAAAATTTTCATTTGGGACGAAGTGCGTGGTACCAAAATTTCCCCACTTTCTTGTGATATCCATAAGCCAAAAACAGGGAATTGTGGTCTTCCCGAGTCGAAGAAAAATGTTTAGCAATTTGAATGTATAATATTATCCCTCCATCAAAAAAGTTTTTTGTAGCCACCATTCTTGTCTCAAACTCTCAATATTCCCTTTGTTAATATGTCTGTCCAGAAGAGTGATATTCACTTCTTTTCCTCTTCTTTATAAATGTGACAAAAACAAAGATTGAGGAATAAAATCTTCGAGGCCACTTGTTTTGAGGCAATGCATCTCTTAGATCAGCCGCATCAATTGGTCACTTTCTTAAGGATTTTGAGCATTCACAAAGGCCAGAACAAACTGAAAAATCCAATGCAAGAGAAAAAGATGACACAAAAAAGATTGAATAGTTAACATCATCCTTTATGAGATGAAATACTCGCCTGTCCCAAAATCATTGTCTTGTTGGATATTTTACTTTTAATACAAAATCAAAATTCAGACTAGACAATAATTTCGAGACTGGGAAAGGATATACATTGATGGCAGGATGAGAAATAAATTGTGGATCAAACCATTTAGAACTACTGGTGTCGTGCGGGATTCAGAGAACTTATGACCAATCTCATAAAATACTCCCTCTGTTCAGAAATTATCGTCCAGTTTATATTCTTATTTTTAGTACAATTTGTACTATAAGTGAAATTTCAAACTGGATAATAATTTCGAGACGAGTGAATATGTAATAAGTGATCATTTGTAAAAAGTCTCGTAAGATTTATCGTCCATTTTTATAAAATTCGAACAAAAGACATTAACGTGTCTTCTCTAATTAACTACTTTCTCCATGTAGCTCCTTTCACTCAAATGGTAATCACATTTTTCAGTCCAGGTTTTTAATTAATCAACATCTCTCTTATTCTTCATTCCTTAATGAAATTCAATGATTCAAAACGCATTTCTTTTGACTAGCTAACCGCGGAATATAATTTCTGAATTCATGGAGTATTTTTATTATATAATGGCTAGAAAATTTGGGAATTTAAAGTGGCTGGATGGACCAACAAAGGCATTGATTTTCTGGCCTGGAATGTGAATATACAAGAAATTTTAATTTAAGATTTTGGGAGCGCCCACTCCTACTGGAGGAGGGTCTGGACCTATATCTTCGTGCCCATCACGTGGCTATGGACCCTTATGTTTTTTGGTTGATGTCGATAGAGTCCTTGTATTAATTGCTCTACTCAAAAGAATTTAGAATTATTTTGGTGGAATATCCACGATTTCTTGTATTTTAAGTTGAATTTCAGTATACTTATTAAATTTAATAATTGGCATTTTGAGCTTTTTTTTTTCCCACCCTATTCCATTTAAGTTGAATTTTAATATACTTATTATATTTAATAATCGACATTTTGTGCATTTATTTTTCCATCCTATGCCAATAGATTGGAGAATGTAATTGTTGTAAGTGGTACAAATAAGCTCGATTCTCCTGGTTGTCCCATCGTACATATGTTTTGAACCTTAACTGTTGATTAACATCTTTTAAACACGTTGAGTTAGTAATTTATTAGTTATTCTGTATGTGGACTATTTTTTTCGGAACAGAGATAATATTAAAAACATTAAAATAGCTAACAATGCACAGTTTATTGTCAAAAAGAGCTATTCGTGACTTAATTATTATTGGTCCAAGTCGGATTGGGTTTTTTATATTTGGGAGAAATGGTTCACGGGGCTAAAAATGGGATCTTAAAGAATAAATGGACTTTGTATGAACACCAGATATGAGTTCGTAGCCTACTAAGCCAATTAGAGAATTTGATTTTGATCCTTTTTAAACAAAAAAAAGGGGAAGGAGGGGGAAGGGAGGGAAGAATTTGATTTTTGATGTAAGGGGGACAACCTATAAGAATTAGGCAGAGAAGAATCTGGAATAAAATGTGAGAGTTGTGAACTTTTACAAAACAAGAATGTGAAGGAAAGGAAAGGTGAGCTTGCAAAATTACTAGTAGACCAAGAAGGAATATTTGTGATAGGCCTAGAAGGAATTTGATCTCGAAGTAGCGTATACTGTAGAGGTCCAGAGGAGGTATTTTGTGAGGTTCATGGGAGAATTTGATGGTGATGCGAGGACCAAGGGGTTATCTGTAAATAATATCTCCCCGACTTATTTTAATAATTTAATTTTGTTGTACTGCAAATAGTCACAATAAAATACGAAAAGTAACTTATTATTAAGGTTCATGAAAAAGTGTCGAGGAACGTTATGATGTCTAGCGCGGAAATCAATATCCATTGAAGTGTAAGAAAATTCGTAGTTATATTTGATAAATACTATTTCTTTCTTTGGTATTGAAATTATGTTTAGTTTGGATTTTGTTTTACAGTTCAAATTGTACAAAAATTAAAAATCTGTAAAAGAGGACCATAATTTTGAGACGGAGAGAGTATTTAAAGATAATTGCAATGTGCATTCTTATTCACTGAACTTGAATGTGTATAGCTGAAGAATTATAAATGATGATAGGGTGAAAGTGAAACAAGTTTTAAATGCAAGAAACTAAATAATGATCAATGACGAAAAGGCTATAGATAGTAGATACCATAAGGTTGATGATTCCACAATTCGTACTGAAGTTTATTCTTAGGGTTTCGGGATCACATGGAAATAACTTAGGCTCTGTTTGGAAGGTTTTTTTGATAGTTTTTTCAAAATAATTAAATAATAATTGTTCCATCTCAGCATACCTTTTTATATTTCTAATGTATCTTTTTATATTTCCAATACAAAAAATAATTAAAAACATACACTGAAAAAACGATCCAAACATAGCTTTAAAGTCTCTCCTTCTTATCGTCCATTTTGAAAAATAAATTTAAAAAAATTGCTCCATCTAATAAATAAGTGGAATTATTATGTACGTGTTCTTTAATAAGTCGTGGTTTACTATTGTTGTAGTTTGTCATCTTGTAAAGTAGTATTCCCTCTGACCTTAATTTTAAGGCATAAATAAGTACTAAAATTAATTTAAATGTGAGTTTTATTATAAAGATAAGAGAAGAGAGTAGTATTATTTATAATTGTTTTGTTATAGATTTTACTTAGTTGAGTTAATTGATATTTATAGTTTGGGGCTGCATGCTACGATTTAGAGATTCGTGATGTATTCAAAACTGAATTTGGATTCGGTCTACGAAATGTAATAAATTTGAATAATTTTATACTACCTCCATTTCAAAATAAAAGTCACTTTAACCTCTGCACGTAAACAAAGGAAACAATCATTTAATAATTAATTTGTATATTAAATATCTATTTTTCCCATTATTAATTGTTTTAGAACTATAACCAAAACTATGAAAAGTGGTTAATATCATTTATTGAGGGTAAAGTTGGGAAGTTAATCTTTAATTTGCCTTGAAACCCTAAAACAACCTACATTTTGAAATATTTGTCCAAACCTAAAACGACATACATTTTGAAATGGAGAGAGTACCAAAAAAATAATGTAATGTAACTACATCATTTATTGTTTCAAGTTTATACCTAGATGTAAGTTGTGTTCCTATACGCTTTAACAATTTTTGTTACAATTATTTAAATGAAACCAAACAAATTTACTAAGAATTACGGCTTTCCTAGTGGAAAGGACCAAAGGAACTTATCTTAATGATCCATAATCGAGTTAGCTAACAATATAAAATATATCAATCAAATAGATTGGTCAAGTAAGCAGTTAAACGATAATTTTACTAACTAGTGACATTTAAAACAACAGAAATCATAACAAGATGTGCATAAATGAAATCTCTTTCTAATATAAATGAAGCACAAAAATTAACTAGGAAATTAAGCTGCATAGCTAATATGCGTGACGTAACATCGCATTGAAATGGATTTTTTTTTTTTAAAAAAAAAAAAGAGCAAAGAAATTAGTAATGTACATATTTGGGAGAAAACTGAACCACAGCTGTACAAGTTACATCGGGGATATATCTTGTTTCTTGGGGGCTACATGGGCCCATAGAAAGCGATCCAGCTGGTACGGCCAACTTTTTAATGATATTGGGTAAATTGTGGCCCGCCATATATCTCAAACAGAAAGACAATTTCAGTCCAGTCCAGGCCCTGATAGTGACCCACATCACGTACTTAAGGCCACGGGTGTCAAATACATCAATTGGAATTGATATGTCCCAAACTCAGGCCCCATTTGAAAAGCCCCCCAAAGGGCCTGAAAAGTGAAAACGCCTTCTACGACCCCATTTGAATATAAATTGTCGGTTCGAAAAATGATAATAATAACATTAATCACGCAATTACCGATTTCCTCTACCTTTATATTTAGCTCAACTAAAACTTTCTCTAACGTTTTTGTGCGTCATAACATAAGTTATATTATTTGAAAGTTTGATAACTAAAGAAATCAGTTATTAGGACCGCGTACCTATTTGTTGAAGGACAAGTTTTGTTTAGTCAACAATTAGCATATTTTGAATATTGGCTAATGATTCTTATTAATCACTCTAGTCATTAGTCGGTTCACTGAGAGGTGGGCATTTCAGGGCCCATTGAGCTAATGATTTGACAAATAGGCCCATTCGGTTTCATCATTAATTCAGTATAATTTGACTTCATAGGTATAACTATGCAAAGTCTCCGTACGAATGTGTTTTTGAGAAATTTAGCCCACCCTTTGTCGGGTCAGCCTGGAAAGTCGCACATCAGACAGCTGTCAGTGAAATTAGGCCCACAGAGAGGATTGATTTCTGATGTAAAACTTGAATTCTATTCCTATCGAACACAGAGGTTAGGACTTAAGGAGCCCAACTTACAAGGCCAATTTAATCATGAAGCAATTTTATCTCATAACTCGGTCCTTAATTTCATTTCACCACCCTCTATCACAGTTTAGTAGTTTAGTCGTCCTATTTTAGTTCAGCAAAAAAATAAAGCAGTAGACTGTTAAAATGGGACAGATCACGGATGGAGAATCTTCGGTTCAATCTCCAACGCACTAACTCTTCCTTTAACATAGAAAGGTTAGGTTAGACGCTGATCATCCACAAAAAGAGAAACAGGAAACAAAATGGATCTCTACTAATGGTTGAGAGCTTGAAACAATCTAATATTACATGCTCCCTGCTGAAGGTTAGGAAAAGTGGAGATAAAAGAGGACAACATTCATTTTCAACTTTCCTCTCCTTAACCAGCTTTGCTCAAGGGAGAGTCTCATACAGTATGTTAGATTGGTCAGAATCCAAAGCCAGATTTCTAGATGTTGGGCTTTGCGCGAAGCCTTAAATCACATAGCCATAGCATGTTAGTGATCAGAACAAGCCGTAAAAGTGAAGCTGCTCATCTTCATCGGCCACAGCGTTGATGAAAGAAAATATCAACCTGCACATTAGTGTGATCATAAGCATCAGAGAGATAAAAATGGGAGTAATATTTTTGTTTGATGAAGGGGGTGTAATCAAAGCACATCACTCCAGAATGGTGAAAACACTACAAGGGTTTTAGGAAACCCGATGCTATGTCAATCAATTTCTGGTTAGTGAAACATAACAAGGTCCCAGCAATGATTTTCGTGGTTTAGGCATAGTACTTAAGTAAATTTATCCTAAAATGTGACAGCGTATTCAGACAGTAAGCAGTTCAAAAGTGTAACCAACTATTATTTGCCCTTTGAAAATTCTAACAGACAGTTCTTAATACAGTAATGTTAGTGTCAAATTCACCATCGACAAGAATGACAATCAAACTGACCCAGAGGTGTAAATTTTAAGTCAAAGAACGTACTGGAGTTCTTAGCACAAAGAAAATGTTAGCGAAGTCCAGGAAGAAGAAAATTTTGATTTTGGGAACCAACCTGATCAAAATGAATACAAACAGAATCAAATGAAAACCCATCTTGATAGTTCGTAACTTCTTCTCATCATTGACCTTTCTGAAGATTTCAGTTACATCAATAAGATGTTGTCGCTCCAAATATCTGTAAAAAAAAGAAAGGCATAAATCAACTACCCAAAACACATAAATCTTGACTTCATATGAACGTTACAAGGCAAATTTCTCCATAAAACCAAAAGAAAAACAAAGGAAAATGCAAAACACTATATCCCAGCAAATGGGGCTCAATAGGAATCAGGAGACCTCCTAAAAGTCCATCCATATGCAGAGTAGAGAAAACTCTAACAAAGGATACAAACGTTGAATTGAGATATTTCATTAAATTATTATTGTAAATTTAGTTATCCATATAGAAGCCATTGGATACAGTGACTATGCACAAACTACATAATTTGCAGAACTTATTAAAGAGAAACTAACCTCCTTGCATTAAGATAGGCAGGCAAAAGTGTAATAAGGAAGAAAATCCAATTCCCTGCCAGGAGAAATAAAACACAGAATGTACCATGCAGCAAAAACTCAGGAATGACCACACCATTTATGCGAGATGCCGTTTCATATGGATTCAAGTAGTCAGCTTCCAAATCTGTCAAAGTCATGAACTACACAATAAAGGAGTTAATAAAGAATTTGATAAGGACTAAAAGGACAAGATGACCATATTTAGAGAGCATGTAATCTAGGACTGATTCAGCAGCGAACTAAGTCCACCATCGATACGAAAGAAATACATTAAGATATACACACAATACATGAAACAGAAAGCCAATCAATCCAGGGTAGTAAATCTCCGTCTAACTTAATCTTTACAGATAATTCGAAACCTTCAGCAAAAAGAACAGAAAATGACTCTGCCTTGTAAAGTTACCCCCCAAAACTCTACAATTTGGGTTCAGAAGGAGATTCGGATCTGCATAAAGAGAAAGCAAAATGTCCCAACCCCCTAAGTCCAACCATCTGACCAAACTTCAGCAAAAATCTTACAATACAATCATTTCCCAGAAAAAGCCCTGTAGCTGAAGAAGATTACATATAAAAAGCTTCGAAGTAATTCCAAATCTTACAAACAGAATTCCAGTTTTTAGACCCCAATTCCATTTGTCCTCCACAAACTTCCATTGTGGTTCGGACATAAATGACTTTCTCCATTAAAAAAGTTCCCTTTTTTATCCTTCTGTTGGGATTTTAATCCAGTGCAAAGAATAAAAGCTAATGAATAACTAGCTACCAATTCGTTCAATAAAGCAACAGAAACCTTCAGGAAAAAAATAAAAATAAAAATTCCCAGACAGGAGAATTGATATCAGTTTTTACCTGGTAGATATTGAGGCCCATTAGACCAAAGTTCATCAGGAAAAACAGTAGCCAAAGGAACGGCTCTGATGGCATCTTTTGTTGTCTGAGACTTTTTAGCCCAGAAATTTGTTGCAGAAGCTCCTCTCAGTTCTTGAAGATGTATGTAATTCAGAATAGTAAAGTAGAAAAAGGAAAAGCCAGGGTTTATGATTGTTTATGATTTGATTCATCCTCTTTTGAGATTTGAATTAATAAATTATTTATAGCTATTGGTGTAATGTAAAGTTGGTCGGTTTGGTCCCTCCACTTTCGAGTTTTGACTCTTTGATTCCTAATCCAATTGTTAATTGAATGATTGATTCCTATCCCATAAATTAATAGAATCTTATCACCAAAACTAAAATAATCTAAGAAAACATTACGAGACTTGAGAGGTTTCTTTTTTTTCCTCTCTCGAACCCTCGACTTTCTGGTAATAACCATCCCCTCCTAATCCTCCTCACTACCCTATAGGAAGAGAATATGCGTTAACAAATTGTAAATCCTTCAAAGTAGAAATCAAACTGTGCTATAAATGTTTTGGATAAAGGCTGAACTCAATCTTCAATATCAATAATTCTACTTAGGATTGATCTCTTCTGTAGTCATACTTGCAATTACGGAAATGTGAACTTCGTATTATCGAACCATTAGTCAATTTGTCGTACAAGATGATATATATTTTGTAAATGATGTAGTAGTATTTGTTGAGTTTTATTGTATGATGAATCATGAAATACAGTGTTGAGTTAGGATTAACAATGTACATTACTTGTTTCTCATATGATTTTCTCAAAATTTATTACATCACGGTCAACAAATAGAAAAGTTCTGTGAGCAAGACAAAGTTTGAAAGCGAAAAAATGTCTTCAACAGAAGAAGACTATTAAAAAAACACTGCAAGATGGTCAACCATTTTGTAAGCATATTAGCACATTTACGCCAATGCAGGGGTCTTCAGATCAAGTAGCACTAACTCAGCCAAAGAGAAGCGCTAACTGCAACATGTTGAGGTTCCTCGTCACAGAACAAGTAAAAATTTTTTTTTAAAAAAATTGTCATTATATACTCATAATAAATTTCCGAATTGCACTGAGACAATATCCTACGAGAAGGTTACAGGAACTGAAGAACGTGAACAAACTAGTGATAGCGATATACAAAAATCAGTTAAGAAGATCTATGCCATGTACAAAGGGGGGAAAATAAAAAATGCATCAGTTCCTAATTCGGAGCTAATAAGATTTTCTATCCTAAAATTCCAGAATCGAGGAGCGGATATCTATGTCGTCGTTGCTTTGATGGAAGACAGACATCAGAAATGAAAATGTCCCCGCGAAATAAATTCTGCAGCCAAAAAAGCAAGTAACTTGTACGAGGAAAATGTAAAGCAGAAAATGCAGCGTGTATATAATCATAAAAGTTCCCAAGGGAAAGAAACCATACCTCATGCTAATAACTACAAAGAGAAGGACATAGAAGCCCAGCTTGATCTTTCGAATCTTCTTCTCAGCATTTAGAACCGTTACAATCTCAGTTACATTAATGATATGCTGTCCCTTCATGAATCTAAAACACACAAGAAAATTACATGAATGATGGATCACCAGCAAAGCAACAAGTTCAAAACAAAACCCACACAAAAGGGTAATCTAACTGATTCCATTGGCAAATTGAACAAAATAATTGAGGATATGTAAATATGATCCTATTCAACAGAGGGCTGGACCTTTCAAAAGTTTTAGATTGAAGGAAAACTTATAAGCCGAGAACCAGATAGGACACATCAAAGGAAGGGCTTAATATTCACAAACTACAGAGGATCACTAGTAAATTGTAATCATAACAGAACAGATTCCAGTTCCAATAATAACATCCAATTAAGCATACAGAAATTTTGAGCCAGACTAATGAAAGTCAATGCTAGGTTGAAACTGAATTTGAGAGCTTACTTCACGGCGTTGATATAAGCTGGGAAAAGCGTAACAAGGAAGAAGAACCAGTTCCCTGTCAACAGGAACAGAATGCAGAATGCACCGTGCAACAAATACTCATATACAACCACACGGTTGATCCGATACGAGGCTTCATATGAATTCAAGTAGTCATCCTCCAAATCCGTCAAAACAAAGAACTATAGACAAATCCACTCAGAGTTACGAAAATGTTAGTCCCAAAGTAGCAAACAAACAACAATATGAAATTCAAAAAAAAAAACCTATCCGCAATGCCCTTAATCACATCCCACACCTATCTGCTGCAATGGACTTAAATTGCATCTTACTAAGCGTATATGTGATACAATACCATTTACATCTATGAATTAACGTAAAAAAAAAATGAAAAAAAAAAACTATATGGAAGAAGACCCAGGCATTTTGTAACAGCCAACATTGAAATATATCAAACAGTACCTTTCCTTAGAAAAACGATGGCCAATTGGCCTGCAAACAGAAAAAAAGATTGAATCTTTAAAGCCATGAATCAAAACCCAATTTCTCCCCTATTCTTCCCTCCTCCCCTTATCCATACATCCAATTTCCCTGTATAATTTCTCCCAAACAAAAATTGATCAAACCCTCTACTCAAATAAGAAAAGCATTATTAAGCTAATCATCATTACATCAATGTCACAAACATAACGAAAAAATTATACAAGAAAATAGTTCCTGAGATCACCTGGATGTAATTGAGAGCTATAAGGCCCAAATTCACGAACAAAAAGAGTAACCAGAGAAAGGGTTCGAATTCGAATTCCATCTTTTGCTATACTGGTAAAAAGGTAAAAGGGGTTTTGACTTTCAGCTGTATCTTAATGAAAAAGGGTTTTTTGACTTTTAATTATTTTTTATAATTTATTGAAAAAGGCCTTAATGAAAAAGGAACGACGTCGTAGATAGGACATTCTCGCCAATGTTGCTTCAGCCTGAGATGAGACATTGAGGCAAAAAGAATGGAACTTTGAAGAATATAATGGTAACTTCTTGCCAACTTTATCGAAGACATTAAAGTGATACCAAAACTACTACATCCCATTCTCCTCCAAAAGCAAGTTCTAATTTTTTTTCCTGGTAAGTATGCTTTGCTTCAATTTTCAGTGTTCTCTTCCTTTTTAGTTCTTCAGCTTCATCGTTTTTTTATTTGAATAATACTGTTGCATTTATTCTGGATGCCTCTTTTCCCATCTGGGTTCATCGTATTTTACTACTTGTGTAGCTTTCTTGGTATGGATTTTTTTTTTTTTTTTATAAGAAAGAACAGTGTGGAAATGGGCTTTTTGTGTTTTGTTTATCTAGATTTTAGCTGCCCCGCATTGGTCTGAACTCTGTTGTGTGTTGGTAGCTCTGACTATATAATTTCTTTTCTTTTTCCTTGTTTGTCCACTTTTTTCCTTGTTTCTTATTCTCCCTTATTGTTCTTGTTGTTTAATTTGAATAATTGAGTCTATCCTAATATCATCAATGATAATGAGTTTGGAGTTGTTGCTTAGGGAGCTGATGCTTTCTTGGTTTGTTTGGAACAAGAGATGTCTGAAAAACAAATATTTCGTCCCTCTTTCTGTGTCTTTACTATCTAGTTTTCCTAATTCTCTTCCTCAGGCTTTTATACTGCTTGGATTCAAGTTTTCCAATAGCTAGAAATTCTTTTGCTTAAGTTGATGGAATTAGTTAATCCCATGAAATCCCCTGATCCTTTTCTTTTTTTCTTCAGAATTCTCTTGACTAGAATGTTGATGTTGTTGGATATTGGTTCATTTATTTGATTTTCCTCCGAATACATTGCTTTTCAAATGTAAGAAAGGTACATTAGTAAGGGGAAAAAACAAAAAACTCTTAGGGTCAATTATCTGTAGACATGAATCCTGGTTCGTGGAAGTACTTATCTTTTAACAGCAGTCTGGATGCTGGAGAATTAATTGTAATGTGATTTCCAACTTAATTCTAAGGAAAGATGGCTTTGGTGTTCTACTAGGTACTGTGTCCTATTGATACAAACAAATCCATTCTAAAGCTTTAGAGAGGGATCTTCATTTGATACGCTAAATATGGAAGGATAATACCTTGTCAATTGATGTTGATGTCATATATTAAGCAATGATGATGGTTCAAGATGCTCTTTTTTGTTTCAGGGTCTTTCACATAAGCTACATTGTCGATTCTGATATCACATTTATAGCCATGATTAATTGTGGAACGAGCATATGCCTTGTTCTCTAAATGTGGGTTTGGAAAGTGTAATCACCTCCAATCAAAGTGTCTCAAGTAAGATGAATACCCGTCTTTCTAGTGTCATCTTGCTAGCACCATCCACATTGTGCTTTCTACAGACCTCTACCAAGCATCCAGAAGTAAAATGGGCTATCATGCCTTCATCGAAGACAAGATCCTCTTCATCTTCTGTTGCCTTTCATGCATTACAAGGGAGCTGTTTCCTGGCCAGTGTCTCCAAGAAATTCAACAAATTTCAATCATTGACAATTACAAGTATGCGTAACAAATCTTCCAGGAGGACATGCTTTGATATTTCACTAGGTTCAGGAAGGTTGAATTACAATTTCAGAGCTCCAAGGCAAACTATAATCAGATGGTCACAACACTTAGCATCTGGGGGTTTGTTTGTTGGACTGGTTTGTAATTCAAGTTCTGAACCAGTTCAAGCAGACGCACCTGAGTCTAAGCAGGTAGATGATGGTAATATATCTGAGGTCTCATATTCTCATGGGAAGAAAGTCTGCACTGACTATTCTGTAACTCGTAAGCACCAGACTCCTGATTTTCAGCTCTAATATCTTTTATTCCATATTCCTTCATCTCTAAAATTATTCATTGAGCTTTCTTTTGTTGAAGGAGGTTGCAAAGTCTATTTTTCCTTCAATAGAGTAAAATGGCCAGCATATAGTTGATAATTCCAATTTACCAAACACTGTAAGAGCAATGGCTCCGATGAGTGTCTGCATCACTGCTGAGTTAATATAAATATATGAATTGTAGGAAAATCAAACAAGTTCCAAACTTAGAAAATTTGATCACTTTGGAAACCGTAGGAATAACTTTGTACTATATGGATAATGCTGCAAAATTAAGCTGGTTGTCTCTACAGATGCATAATCTTGGGATTCAAGAATGCTATCGGCATATGGTGGATGATGATATCTGGCAACTCTTTTCATGATACAAATGAACTTATTTAATGTTATATGAGCTAGTACAATCAAATTCACGATAAAGGTGGATGCTGCAACTGATAAAGACAATAATGTGGTTGTCATAACTTATGCTGACATATGTATAAAGCGAAGACGACATTCTTCACCAGTACTGATGACAATCTGTATATCGATGGAGCACCTGTTTTTCATACGATTTTACTCATGTTGTGATGTTCTTTTGTTGCCTTCCTCATGAAGTTTGTTATAGTTTCATCATGTCAGTCTTGAATTCTACAACTTCTTCATACCTTTCAGGCATTCCTGGAGATGGTAGGTGTTTGTTTCGTTCTGTAGCCCATGGAGCTTGTTTACGAGCTGGAAAACCTGCTCCAGATGAGAAACTTCAGAGGGAACTGGCAGATGATTTACGAGCTAAAGTATGTTCCTGCTCTTAACTATTTCACAAAACTTTTCCGTTATCATAATTCTGAGTTGAATGTAATTTCTCGTAATTGTGAATGCTCATTATCAAGCCCAAAAACTCAATGTCTCTTAATTTCTGGAAAATTTGACAAGAGACAAGTGCTCTTGAAACAGCTTCTGTTAATATGATAAATAAATAGAAAGACATGTTCACAAAGGTGATTTTGTAGGCAATGAACCTTCCTTTCCTCCACCCTCCTCCCGCCAAACCATGAGAGTTGCTGAAAATCACACCGAGTAAATTGGCTGAAAATCTAAATGAGCCCTGTGTCCAGTAAAGCTCAATTTTGAACGAGTTCCAAGTCGAAATGAAATTGTCAAATGGAGATATTTGCTCTACATCATGACTTTACAGTTACCAACTAATGGAAGTTTCTGAATAAGTTTACATTTTAAGAATGCTTCTTGTTTCATCTTCCCTCATTTGTCATTGGCAATTTCAATCAGGCAATCATGAAATGTTACTGAATTCACAATTCTTCACTATAAATTTTTCAGTAAAACAGTTTTGAAGTTATTCATAAGAATAGCCCCTGATGGTGGATGCATTGATGTTCCTTTTTAGGTAGTCGACGAGCTTGTCAGGAGACGTGAAGAGACAGAATGGTAGGCTAATAAGCTCTTCTGTTTTAGTGATGTAGGTTGCTTGGTTTTTAGATGTATTGTACCATCCTTATGACGTATTCCACCTGCATGAATGATGATTGAAAATCATAATAATTAGTGTACATATAATGATGAGAAGGACCTAGTCAAATCTAGATTGGAATAACCAACCTTTCTTTCCCCAGAGAGCGAATATTTATTTGCTATGATATCTTTATCATGTATAAACCTTTTATATAACAAAAGAAAAAAGAAAAACCAGAATAGGTGTTCCAGAAAGCAGAAATGCCGTGTTCTTGTCATTTACGCTTTCCTTATTGACCTTTTGCCTTATAACAACTACTGAATCCCTTCCAGGTTTATCGAAGGTGATTTTGAAATATATGTCTCAAAAATGAAGAAACCTCACGTGTGGGGTGGTGAACCTGAAATATTGATGGCTTGTCATGTTTTGCAGTAAGTAACAGTGAATATCTTCTTTCTCTACATTTATCACATTTTCGCTTTTACCCTGAGTGTAAACATGTCAGCATGTGTGTGGATGACACTTGGAGAGAGGGGGTGGTTTGGACGCGGGCATTGTAGACCTTTTCTATTAGCATGCATTGGTTGTTTAGTGCTGGGTAAAGTTGGCCTTATATTTTGCCTGACACTCTTTTCGGGCCATCACTGATACTCCCAACTAGGTGATTTTTCCTTCACTGTATCAGGAGCACTTAGTCCGTGCTAAACATTGGCAAAACATTTTGGCCATTTACCAAAATAGTTCTGTCTCCGCTTGGAGAAGCTCCAGTTCCTTATGCTTGTGTAGGCCTTTAAAACTAACAGAACTTTTGCCGCTGCACGTTCGTCAATGTGAAAATTTTTCATCATCTTCAGGATGCCAATTACTGTATACATGCACAACCAAGATTCTGGTGGTTTGATATCCATTGCTGAGTATGGACAAGAATATGGCAAGGATAATCCTATCAATGTCCTGTATCACGGGTATGGTCATTATGAGGCTTTGCAGATTCCTGGAAAGGCGGGTCGAAGATCAAGAATGTAAACTTTACTTCTGAATGCTCTCCTTCTCTCTTGTATACTTCTAAATGCTCTAACTTGATGTGGCCAGTCGACCACTAGTTATACTTGCTTTCATTTGCCTTGGAAGGAATCTGATAGCTTTCTGCAGTGATAGATGTTGGCTTTTTGAAATCAACATCACATCCTATATGACAGAATCTACTGGTTATAGTGTGTTTCTCCTTACTCAAAAAAGTTTCATTGATTGATCAAGTATAAGCATAGGTACCAGAAGTACATGTTCCACGCCTTGTGTTCTCTTTTCTTTTGCTATGTAAACCGGAAACATCTAAGCTCTTTGGCTTCCTTAGAACAGGGGAAGTTTAGGCCAAGTAAATTACACTATACATTTACTTGGCCTATACGCACTTTGGCCATCCTCTTCTTCCTTACTAATAAGTATATCTATACAATGAATTATGTGGTTATACGACAGCATTGCGACAGCGAGACAAAATCCATCAAGGTTTAGTCATTCTAAATTTGGCAATGTTGGTATGTATGAATACTCGAACTTTGGACTTCAAAATGGGAAAGCCGGGCCTATCATACCATCATGATTGTTATTCTCGCCGTGTTGCTTGAAATTCAATAACTTATCAAGCCGACAATAACTTATCAAGCCGACTATGTTCAAGTATCTCCAGAGTCGGTGACTGTAAACTACCTGTTTCTTCTGCTGGTCTTATGTGATTTCAATATGGCAGAAGGCAGTCACTGATGGAATGAGCTCGGCTGGAATGATTAAATGGAGCATAGTAGAAGTTCATGAAGCAGCAGAAGATTAACAACCTGTTTCAGGATCAGCAGTTTCACTGCTGCGTCCTCCAGTGCAGTGCTTCCCATCATTATGCTGCATAATCCATGTACATGATTAACAACACTCGTGCAAATTCAAAGGCATGAGCACATGGGCTTATCTGAACTCTTTTGATGAATCTAATGGGGTTGCACGCCTCACAAATTTTTTCCTTCTCACACGCAAGCCCTTCTTTTGGACAAGTCCTGTTCTTTTTCTAAGTTTTGCCAACTTTTCCTTTCGCCCTTCGATTTCAGCTTGAATTGCCCCGTCTCTTTTCTCATCTGGCAGCAATGCAAGCCGTGCAAACTTCTTTGGTCTCACTCCCACAAGCTTCTCATTTATGTCCCTAAAAGCAGGTACAAGGCCACGTCGGATGTAACATCCTCCAACCAGCTGCATAGAATTTGTCTCTGGAAGTTTCAAGCTATCCTTCAACTCCAAGTCCTCACAGAAGGGAGAATCTTTTAACCACAGCCGCAAGGAATGAGATTTTGCAACAAGGAGGCCACTTCGAGTTTCACAAGGCAAAAATGGAGATCCCATCTCCCAGAGGTATGCTTTAAGTGAACTGTTAAGAGAAACCTGATTGTATTCTGATGCACCTGTTATCAGAACCACAGATTTTGGAGATTCAGGGATACCCTCCAATGAAGCATCCTGCAGAAATACACTATACATGAGATCCAAAATACATATACTGAAAAAATATCCAACTATATACAGATGCTAATATAAAACATTCGCTTAAGTGTTTAATAGATTACTGTTACTGAAACTTCTTAAAACCTAGAGTAAGTAGAAACTCGGTGTCTGACAGACAACTGCGGGTAGGATGCACTAATGCTTATGAAACACAACAACAGATGTGAGCTATCCAAAACGAAAAGCGTAATGAGGCCAACTAGCAACATCGCCGGATATGTTGCATATAACCTGATACGTCTGAGAATTAGTGAAATAACGAGAGAGGTGGGCCAGTTTAAGAGTTGTATGAGATGTATTCATCATAGTGAGAACAAACAAATAAGCTAAAAGATCTAGTCCTTAAGCTGGAAGCTTTTAATTGATCATATTTTCAGATAATGGAGTCAAGTCATGCACATGCAGGAAACCAGAAAGGCAAGTACTGAAGACAGAATTTTACCTGCATGTGGTCAAGCCAGAGAGTTAAACCAACAAGAGCAGCACCAGCAGACAACTTCCTAAAGTCAGCCCCCCAGTCCTTCTCAGCTACCCTGCAGAATAACACAACGGTATGAATGACCTATAAAGATTAATAAATCATTGACTAACCAACCAGAAATGACAGCACTCATCCAGTGGGGTCCTCCTAACTATACAGGCACTTCTTAATTTCTCCATTTGATTTCTCTTTATATTTAACCCAGAATTAAGCTTTGTTATTGTCATGCCCATGATAATACTTCTGAATAAACTGATCTCTACATATCAGAGGAGACGATGCTACATGTAGCATCCAACTTGGAAAGCATAGAGGTCCCAACTTTGGGGGTCATTTCTTTCAAAAAAAGAATTAACTTAAAGCTAGACTTAGCATTTCTTTTACCGAGAAGAAGAGCATTTATTTTGTCAATAACAACAGACTTAAAAAAAAAAATTCTTCGCTATGTTTCACGGGCTGGAATTTCCATTAGCTTTAGGGCAATCACCCAAAGGCAGCTTAACTTCGTTGACCATTATACTTGCGGAGGTGGATCAGACACCAAATAACAGAACAGGCATTGGAAAGGTGAATTAAATCATAAAACTTTATACATGTATTATTACATGATTTAATATTAAATATACTTTTTCCCCTTTTTAAGGCCCTCCCTCACAATGCTCTCATTTGTATCATTTTAGTCTAATTCCTGTTCAGTTAATTCAGTAGAATAATTCCTTTCTTTATTCCAGCAAAAAACAAAAAGAAAATAGGGGGGCTTAGCTAGCGAAACAAGTAACGTAAAAAACAAAGATGTCATATATGGTGTCAGTTTCTACCTGAATATGTCATGGCGATAAATATTTCTCTTGATTGCCAACTGGAAAATCCACGATGCAGTGGCCCGGAGTTCAAAAGCCCATAACAGGTCTTCCAAGGCATTGACAAAGTTAAATGCTATATTATCTTCCAAAAGCTTCAAATTTACAAGACAATGATCCATCTCCTGTACCAATGACTCCGAAGTACTATTCAAAAGCCTAGAAGAGTAGGAAATTATAGTTATTCATTTAATAAGAAAAAGTATGAACAAACTAAAAATATTTTGTTCCATCCAAAACAACTACTCTGCAATGAAAAACTGATGTACCTGATAGGGAGATCAAATCCAGTGTCTCCAACAGCAGTTAAAAGAGTTAACGCCTCCGATAAACTGTGGCACCGACTTGCAGCTCGAATAAAGCAAGTCCATATCATATGATCAGGTTCTAAACCTTCAGCCCTCATCTCAGAGAGTTTCTGAATGGCAACGCTGTAATCTCCATTCTTAAGATAAGCATCAATGACAGATATGTACGGTAATGTACCAAGAGTTATACCGGAAATCTTAAGGTCATTGAGAACTTTCTCTGCTGCTATCGGTTGGCCGGAGGTACCATAAGAAGTCATAAGTAAATGCATGGTAGCAATCGAAGGTTCCACTCCAGATTCCTTCATTGTTACCGTCAGCTTTTCAGCTTTAGCATGATTCTGCGAGCTTCTGTACATCTTCATCATTAAATGATAAAAGGAACGATCAAGCTTCTGTCCTGAAGACCTAAGCCTTTCAAATAGCTCTTCAGCTTGTTCCAGCATCAACAATTTACAAAATGCTGCAATCAAGCTTTTGTAGGTATCCAACCGTGGTTCAAGACCTTTCTGTGTCATTTGATGCATCAAATTAAGACCTTCTTCTGGCCTGCAATCTCTACAGTACATCAATATCAGAGTATTGTATGTATCCTGATCTGGTTCTAGTCCAGCTTCACTAATTTGCTGATATACTTGAACAGCCCTCTTATAATCTTCAGTCCTTGTATACATTTTAAGCATTGAATTCCATATAAAAAGATCTGGCTTAAACCCTGCTTGCTGCATTTCAAAGACCATAGCTTCTACATCTCTCACTTTTCCTGCTCTGGACAATAGTCCAATCGTGACCCTGTACAGATGCATGGTTGGAAAATATCCTGCAGCTTTCATTCCCTGATATATCTTCTTCACTTCAAATGTGTTACCTGCTTGTACAAAAGCTTCCAGCATCAACATAGTAGAACTCTTGCTGATCTTAAAACCCATGTCTTGCAGCTCTTCAATTACAACATAAAGCTCACTCAATCTGTTATCAACAATCAATGCTTCCAGAAGGCTGTTAATGGTTTCTACTGTTGGGGAAGGACCATCTCTCATCATGGTATTGAATGCAGCTCTTGCATTTTCATAGCAACCACTTGCTGCATAAGCTTGCATTAATGCATTCCAAGCCTTCCTGTCCACAGTACCATAGTGGCGTCTCAGAGTACCCACGACAATTGCTGCCCTGTCTAGTAACTTCAACTTACCGAAAGCCTCAATAAGACAAACATAGATAGAAATATCCTGAACAGCAATGCCCCTGGATTCGGCCTCATGAACTAAACATTGAGCAGTCTCTGGAAAGCCGAGTCTACAGTAAATAATGGTCATGATTCTGTAAATATCCCAAGAAGGTTCTAGGGCATTGAACCTCATGTCAGAGAAAATTTGTGAAGCTTCATCAAAATGTTCACTCTCCTCACAGCACTTTATTAGGGAATCAAACATGGTGAAACTCCTGGTAAAGAAACTATATTCCCGGAGTTTATAGTATTCAAGTAAGGCAGCATCCAACTGATGAGCCTTGCAGAAAATAACGACCAGGGCTTCAGATATGAATTTGCTATACCCAGAAGAATGCTCTTTCAGAAAATTTAACAGATCAATTGCTTCCAAGTGCCTTCCAGATGAGCTATATGAACTGAGAATGGATAACAAGTTATCCTTATCCAAAGTATAACCCTGTACAACAGCTTTTCTAAGCATTTCTGCTGCAAAACTGTAGCACTCTCCCTTTGTCAGCAGAGATGAGACTGCCTGTGGGTTCAGCTGATGGAATATTTCTAGGTCCCTAACCACTTTCCAGATACTTTCAGCTTTGTTTTCTTTTCCAAGAAATCGGAGCATAACCTCATAAAGGAATAGATCTGGTCGGAATCCATCATCAACCATTTCCTGATACAAGATGAACGACTTCTTGATATCATTAGACCTTAAATGAATATCCAACATGACAGAATATGCCAATTGGTCTGGTCTGATTCCAGAACGCCGCATGCTATTGAACATCTCCTCAGCCTCCATTTTCTTTCCAGCTTTTGCATACCCACAGATTAGAGCACTGTAGGTACGAACAGTAGGCTTTACACCAGCATCAAGCATTTCTGACATTACTTTTTCAGCCTCTGCTATCTTATTTGCTTTCCCAAGTGAGTCAATAAGAACAGTATATGTAACTACATCTGGATTTCGACCAGATGTCTTCATGTCTCTATAGAGTTGCAAGGCTAGATCATCCTGACCACTTTTCCCATACATGTGGATGATGGTATTAAAAGTCATTTCATCTTTTCCAAAGCCCATCTTTAACATTTCATCACAGATCTTCCCCACCTTCGCAACATTACCATCCCTTGCAAATGCGTACAGCAGGGAATTATATGTAACAGCATCAGGGAAAAACCCTTTGGATCCCAAATCCTGGAAGAGTCGTTCAGCGTCTCCTGGAAGTCCACATCTTCCATAGACGGAGATCATGGCATTATATGTCCACAAATCAGGTTGGCACTTGTGGGTTTGCATGTCATCAAAAACCTTAACAGCTTCCTCCATATTGGCCTCACGGGAACAGGCGCTGATGATAGTGTTGTAAGTAATTATATCGGGTCGAATCCCCGATCTCCTGACTTGATTCAAAAGTTCGATGGACAAGTTTGGCGTCATCGGGCCAGACTTCAAACGTGCATTGATCAGAGTATTGAAACTCACTAAGTCCGGCTCACAACCTCGCTCGCGCATCAAATCAAGGAGTTGTTGCACCTTCGAAAAACGACCATTTCGAGCATAAACTCCCATCATTGCATTGTACACTTGGACAGTGTTACCAACCTGAGGCTCTGCGCGCGAAAATATTTCCACGGCCAGAGCTTCCTGATTGGCCTTTCCAAGCACACCTAGCACAGTTGCAAGCATGCGCGGATTGGGAGAGTACCAATGGCGAAGATTGAGCCATTCGTAGACCTCCAAAGCCCTCTGCCAGCTAGATTGGCCAACCCATTTTACCACGAAGCAGAAATCTGTTGGTGTCATTTGAACCAACTTCTCATCCAGTACGTCAGCTACATGCTCCTCAGGGTTTAGCCCCAAAATCTTATTAGTCAAAAAATCAACCCTCTTCCTCCAGTCTTTAGCTCTCTTTAATGCCAGTTTATTCATCTTCTTGACCTTAGTCCTATTACCACTGCTATTACCATCCCTACCACCCCACATTTCCTCTACTTGATCACAGTCATTGTTCATAATTGATTCCTTACCTCCTCCCCCTTCTGTATCATACCCATCACTGGTTTGCTCATTTTCATCATCAACATCAACATCATGAATATCATCAATCACAGGTTTGGAGGAATTAGGGGAGGCTACAGTGAAAGGGGACTGATGGGTGTCAGTAAAATTAAGGTGGGGCCATCTAAGCGAAGGGATAGCTCTGCTATATCTAAATTTTTGTGGTGGAGGAAGAGGTGATTCTGGGTCATCAGCAGCAGTACTAGAACTAGTTGAGACAGAGCAAGAACAACAAACAGTGGAAACAAAAATGGTGCCAGAATTTGGTCTGTTATGTACCTTCAACTTCCTCCTTCTGCTGCTGCTGCTGTCTGAGTATGAAGAAAACAATGGCGAAGTAATACCAGTGAGCAAAGCTCCTCCTGAGCACGCCATGGGACCCCTGAACTCACCAAAAATCCAAGCTTTTTTTTCTTCTTCAGGCTTTAGCTAATAGGAATATCTGCAATCTTTTAGCAAAATTTCGATTAAAAGTATTCATGGGACGAATACAGTCCATCGTACGAGGTTCTGTTCAGCCCATTTCGACATTGGAGTAGCTCCATTCCTCAACACATGAGAAGGAAGCTGAAGCTCTGAATGAAAACTCCATTGATAATGGCTACTACTATATAACTTCGACGAAAAACCCAAAAGAAGAAGACGACGACGATAAATTCATTTTGGGCCTTATGATTATTTCTTTTAGGATTGGGCCAAATTCATTTTACTCCATCTTCTACAGATAAAGATGACCTGAAGACAATGTTTTGTTGTTTGGACTTTGGATCCATTTCATTTTTCAGTGGTTTTTTCCCTTTTTTTTTTGCTAATGTTTTTGTAAAAAAAAGAACCAATATATTCTACATCCTGACATGTCTTTTTATATTCTGATAACTATATGTTCTTTTCCATAGATTTTCAACAGAAAAAAAATTCCAAATGAAGCTGGTTACTTTTAAGGAGATTCTTTCATTATATATCCCGTCTAATAGAGAGATTCAATATATTACTTCTGGTTACTTTTTGATTGTGGACTATTTTCCTGAGCTGAGGGAGTACAATACAGTATATACCAAATGATAAAAGCATATCTATATATATATATATATATATTTGTTATTTTTTATTTTTTTTATAATTAGAAAGAAATGTGAATTTTTTTTTAGGAGATATGGAGTACAAGGTTTAATAAAATTCAATGTTGGTTAATTTCCTTTGAGATAATTGTCAGAGAATCTTAATGGATTATAAATTATCTTTGTGAATTTGTCGATTTATCCAAAGAATCTTAAGAGATTCCATCCATTGACTTTTTTTTTATCATTGAATAGTTGAATTAATAACGAGTGCCCCTTGATCCTTCAAATGTTTTGTGCTTTAGTCTTTGATGATGATTTGTTCATGGTTTGTTGAATATCTTTTACATTTCTAGTATATATATATATATATATATATATATTTTTATGAACAAGACAGTAATTATATATTATGAAAACCTATACTAATACATTTGGCTACATTATAAGTTATATTATGCATTTTAGTTACGCTTTCTCGAGAAACTTTTACTATTTTGTACGTAGTAAAATCTCTAAGAAGAGTGATAATTTGAGTAACTGGAATAATATTTACTACTTTTTAATATCCTCGAAGCAAAACATCTTGGAAAAGCATTCCAAACGAAAAAATGCCTCCAACTAGTTTTTGTTTTTTAATTTATTTTTTCAACCAAGGTGATTCCGATTTCCGGCTGAAACCACCTCTTTGGTGGTGGCATGAAAATTGAAAGCTGATGGTTCAACTCCTCCACTGCTCTTTGTTTTTTTGGGTTTGATCAAACGAAGTGGGATACAATTATATGTACAAATACAGCCAGAGAAAGTGCAAATGCATGTTACGCAAACACACCCACATCTATTTTGTAGTTGTCGTTTTCTCATAGATTTCGAATCTTACTCTGAAAAGATTTATTACTACTACTGGAAGAAGAACAACTAGTCCAGGACTTGAGTGGAATCTGGAAAGAAACGATAGACTTTGCCCTGAAAAAGAGATGATTTTTCTTTTACATGTGTAATCTTGTCCTCTGTTTTTGAATTAAGCAAAGGAAAAAGCAGTTCTTTCTGACATGCCACATTAGCTACAAAACATGTGAGTGAAATGATATTATTGCTTTTGTATTCTTTTGCCTATTTTCTGACATATATCATTGCTTCCATTATCACATTCATTCATAGTTACTACTAGTTTTGAATGTGCTGAACAGAATTCAAAAAAATCGATTCTGATTAACAAAGATATGAGTGAGTTAGGCAAATAATCTAGGAACTCATTCACATTTAATGATGTGTCTTCAATCAAAAATTTCAATCACCCCACAATTGAGCATTAATGTGTCTGAACTACTTCAATGGTGATATTGGTCCAATAGAAAGTGAAGGAGAAAGAAACCATTTTTTGAGTTTTGACTTGCTTTGCCAATTGACACTGTTCCTGGAAACCATGTTCAGACAGACAAACATTTGAATAATCTAAAACTTGTTATCATCAAAAGAAGTTAAAAAAAAAAATCCTGAATCAGGTTAATATTTAGTAAAGAAACAATTTGACAGTACCGCTTCACCGCTTACTAATCTCCCATCCCAATGTAAATCTCCATTGATTTTAAATGAATTCCACCATTAAAATACTCATTCAAGCTCCCCATTAAAGCCAACTTAAGCAGTAAACATATTTCAAACTTCATTTTGCTAATAATAAACTATATAGCCCTCTTGCATTATTTATCGGTCCATCACCGTAGCTGGTAGCTGCTCCTCGAAATCCAATCCCACTCATCAGTTCAAAACTTCAAATAATCAATACTCAAAAGATTCAAAATCTTTCTTCTTCAGAACTACACAACAGAACCTTCTTCTGTAGCAACTTTTAGTTGAGCTTGAAGCTCTTTTGAGTTTTGGTGTATGGTGGATGCCTTCAAAGATTGAAACTTTAACCGGTTTTTGATGCCAATGGAGTTCAGAAAGAGTGTATTCATTGCATTTGAGCTTCTTATTTACTCCACATTCTCCTTTACTATATCAGAAGCTCTTAATTCAGATGGTCTTTCACTTTTAGCTCTCAAAGCAGCCGTAACCACAGACCCAAAACAAGTTCTGGCTACGTGGAAAGAATCAGACTTTACCCCTTGTGGTTGGGAAGGGATCAAATGTGATCATTCCCATCAGAAAGTCACCACCATATCTCTCTCCCACAAAGGCCTCATTGGCTACATTCCATCAGAACTTGGGACTCTTTCCTCACTTACTTCTCTTACTCTGTCCTTCAACAATTTCTCAAAGCCCATCCCAGTTCACCTCTTCAATGCCACTTCTCTGTCCTCTCTTGATCTATCTCATAACTCCCTCTCCGGGCCTCTGCCTCACCAGATAACTGCCCTCAAGAACCTCACTCATCTTGACCTTTCATCAAATCAGCTCAATGGGTCCCTTCCTGATGCCTTGAGCAACTTAACCCACTTATCTGGAACTTTAAATTTTTCATGCAATAAATTTTCCGGCGAGATTCCGTCGAGTTTTGGTGGGTTTCCGGTTACATTGAGCTTGGACTTCAGAGAGAATAATCTGACAGGGAAGATACCACAAGTTGAGGCGTTGCTGAACCAGGGTCCAACTGCATTTTCTGGGAATCCTTATCTCTGTGGGTTCCCATTAGACAATGTTCCTTGCAGTAGAGAGCCTGAAGCGGAGAATCCAAGAATCCTGCCAAACCCACAAAAGCCAGGTATTCTGTCAGATGGGATTGTGGAGAAAGGAAAAACAAGAAACGGGACGGTCACAATTACTCTGGTTTCTGGGATTTCAGTGGTGATTGCAGCTGTATTTGTTTCAGTGTGGGTTTTCAGGAAAAAATGGAATTTGATGGAAGACAACATTGGAACAGAAAATCTGGAGAAGGGCTTGGAAAAGGGGAAGGAGAAAGAGAAGGAGAAGGAAAAAGAAAGGCAAAGTAGTGTCACTGGAAGTGAGGAGGGACAAAAGGGCAAATTTGTTGTCATAGACGAAGGGATGGAGTTGGAATTAGAAGATTTGTTGAGGGCATCTGCTTATGTGGTCGGAAAAAGTAGGAGCGGGATAGTGTATAAGGTGGTGGTTGGCGGTGGGAGTGGAAGTGGCGGCGGCGGCGGTGGGAGGAGGTCCAGTGTGGGTGGTTCCACCATTGTTGCAGTGAGGCGGTTGAGTGATGGTGATGCCACCATGAAGCTGAAGGAGTTTGAAGGGGAGATGGAGAATATTGGGAGGATTCAACATCCAAACGTTGTAAGGTTGAGGGCTTATTACTATGCTAGCGATGAGAAATTGGTGGTTTCTGATTTCATCTCCAATGGAAGCTTGCACAATGCCCTTCATGGTAAATTTCCTTATTCTACAATTCTGGCTGTTATGTTATGCATATGATTTTATAATTTTGTGCATTTAGTCTCTAATCTCGGTTTTAATGGTGTGATCAGCTGTAAAGTATCATGATCCTAGCAGAATAAGATCTTTACACAAAAGCATTGAAATGTTTACCTGTGTTAAGTCTAGATCCAGCTCTTGTGCTGCTCTGTCTAATTAGTAGCTTTAGGCTCTTGTGGGTAACACCGCCTAGTTCTTTCTGCAATTAGAGACAAACTAGCTGCAAAATATACGGGGTGCTGTCAAAATATTGGTAAGTTGCTAGGAAATGCTCATATTCATACACGAGGAGAAACTCATAGGCAAATGGTCTGTTGCAACAAACACAGATAAGTCTGATGTCGTAGTTGTTGGAGAAAGGCATATATGACCAGCAAATATTATGAATTCTAAACGTATTTGTTGGATTGAAGGAATATTGCTTGCTTTTTTGTTTTGACAAGCCCCTTGTTGTCTCTTACAGAAATGTAGTGTGTTTTTCAAAGGCATGTAAAGCTGAATGGATATCAAAGAACAGGCCAAATGACAAAGATACAATGGTTTAATGAGTGATTTGGGATCTTGTTTACTTGAATTTGTGCTTTATCATTTGGTACTTTTTGAGTATCTGATATCAACCAAGTTTTAAAGTTGAATAGTTTCTCCATTTCATAAGAAATCCTTCTTTGTTATTTGGCGTTTTTATGTTTTGCAACATGTTGAAGCTGTGGGCTTTGGAGGCTAGAGGTGGGTGCTCTTTTTTCTTTTGAAAGAATTGCAGTTTTAAACCAAAAATGGACCCATGTTTGCATTTTTAAGGTTGTTTTCAAGTGTTACCAAGTTACTATCTAATATCCTTATATTATATTATATAGAGTGAACCTCAAAACAAGTCATCAACCTTTAATATATTTTCACTCTAGGTCATCAATTAAATTTATTTATAACACAGGTTACCTTACTAAAGTTTTAATCCATTTCAGATTATTCTGTTAATTTTGTCCGTTAAATAGTGACAGAAATCCATTTTTCACATGTTTTTTGGTTCAGGGGTTTTTTTGTCATTTTCTTATTTTTTTATTTTTTAATCTTTTAGATTTTTTTTTTTTTTTACAATTCTTCTTCTTATACTTCCTAACTTGTATATACTTATGCTTCCTAACTTGTATATACTTATACTTCCTAACTTGTATATACTGGTAGTATAATTTTAAATTTTAAGAATTTATTTTCCTTTTGTATTTTAACTTCTAGATTATCAAATTTTTTTAAGAAAAATTTAGAAATGAAGAAGAAAAATTCGAGTTAAAGTAAACATGAAAATTAATAATTTATCATTTTAAACAAAAATAAAAACTAAAAGAATTAGCTAAGACAAGTTGTTTCTTCTAGGTTATTTAATTTTTTTCAACTCGATTGAATTATTTAATTCTTAATTTTCACGTTTCTTATTCCTTTTTTTTTTTATAATGTCGTTTGTATCTTAACTTATAGATTATAAAAAAAAAAAAAGGAATAAGAAACGTGAAAATTAAGAATTAAATAATTCAATCGAGTTGAAAAAAATTAAATAACCTAGAAGAAACAACTTGTCTTAGCTAATTCTTTTAGTTTTTATTTTTGTTTAAAATGATAAATTATTAATTTTCATGTTTACTTTAACTCGAATTTTTCTTCTTCATTTCTTAAATTTTTTTTAAAAAAATTTATAATCTAGAAGTTAAAATACAAAAGGAAAATAAATTTTTAAAATTTAGAATTATACTACCAATGTATAAAAGTTAGGAAGTATAAGAAAAAGAATTGTTAAAAAAAATTTTAAAAGATTAAAAAAATAATGAAATGACAAAAATACCCCTGAACCTAAAAGCATGTGAAAAATGGATTTCCGTCACTATTTAACGGCTAAAATTAACAGAATAATATGAAATGGATTAAAACTTTAGTAAGATAATCTGTGTTACAAATAAATTTAATTGATGACCTAGAATGAAAATATATTAAAGGTTGATGACTTGTTTTGAGGTTCACTCTATTATATATGGATAAGTATTGGTCAAGCTAATCCACGCTTTTTCCTTTACTCCTCAGTGTGCAATACAAATTCCTACAAGTGAATGTCGCAATGGCAAAACTAATTTCTGCTCTTTATAATGCAGGAGGACCTGCGAATTTGTTGCCCCCATTGTGTTGGGCAGCGAGACTAGAAATTGCGCAAGGTGTGGCGAGGGGTCTTACGTACATTCATGAATGCAGTCCTAGAAAATACGTTCATGGAAATATAAAATCATCGAAGATCCTTCTAGACGAGGATTTACAGCCTTATGTTTCTGGTTTTGGCTTGAGACGTCTTGTGTCTGGCACATCCAAAACCTCAAATGCTGCTTCCAGAAGGCAGAGCTCCAACCAGATCACAGTGAGCCCTAGCAGCTCAACATCATCAATAATGTACATGGCACCTGAAGCACGAATCCTAGGTAGCAAGCTCACGCAGAAATGTGATGTGTATGCTTATGGAATTCTTCTTCTGGAGATGTTGACTGGTCGATTACCTCATTGCGGGCCTGATGATGACGATAATCGGCTCGAAAGTAATATCAGGAAGGCTTTTCGTGAAGAAAGGCCATTATCAGAAATCATTGACCCTGCCCTATTGCACGAGGTTCATGCAAAAAAGCAAGTGCTCGCATTATTCCACATCGCACTGAACTGCACTGAGCTGGATCCTGAACTTCGACCGAGGATGAGATTGGTTTCTGACAATCTTGATCAGATCAAATGGTCATAACTTGAAAGAGAATAAGAGACCAGATTTTTGCTGACTTCTGGCTAACCTTCTCAGCCTGTGGGTCACTAATGTTGTATAAGTATCTTAACGTAAAGCTGATTCGCAGTTGTGCCTCTTGAAATTTTGTACTGGATTTCATGGCTGAGGAAGCTTAAAGCATTAGACGTTTTAGAATAGGATTCGTCAATAGGCACGACGAGGTGATCATGTACTAGGCGTGAGGATTAGTATGGCACCTATTTGATTCTGACTGTAACTATAAAGTATGCCATGACTGTAACTTCATCTGAGGATGAAGGGGATGTAGTGCTACCAGTTTACCTTCAGAAATTGGTGTAGCAGGGGAAATTCATGTAAACTATGTTATTCACTCAGTAACCTTGTCCAGCCGAAACTGATAAATCTGCAATGAAGGATTACTGATAAATCGCTCATATGAATCGCCGGGCGAGGAGTTCATCTGATTTGCTCATTTTATGAAAGAACAGAATGGCGCTACCAAGTACTGGCTGCTCATTTGTTCTCAAGACATTCCTAAAGCTACAATCTGTTGATACATGTGTATATGCTTCTAACCTTGGTCTGCATTCATTCTGTAGCTAAAACAAAGTAGCCCCTTTATGATCCCATCATTCCTTAACCAAATCTTGGATGTTCTGATCACGCTGACATGCAAAATCTTCCAACCAACTAATAAAAGACGAGTATTGAGTGTTCTTGAATTGTTGCATTCGCATTTCATGGTTCAGTTTCTTACAGAACGCTTGGCTTTTAGTGGTATTGAGTATTGACACTGCTCTTTGGTTCAAAATCTTCCGACCAACTAATAAACTTGCATCTAAACTCTTTTAAGTATTTCCTACCTAAAACTTGATGATCATCCTAGGCCCTAGCTATATAGCACGCTTCATTTCCTTTTCACATTGAGTTTTGGTTAATTAGTCTTCTCATTACGAGTTCGATACCTGTTAAAACACTCGTCCAAAAAAAAAAAAAAAAAAAAATTTCAGATAAAGAAACACAGATGTGACAAAATCTGTTGGGATTTGGACCAAATAAACTAATGAATGAATTTCGATTATGTATCATGTACTAATATAGGGCACGAGGCCCATAATTTTGCATAAACGTTCGAATAAAAGAACAACGATGGAGAGAGAGCAATAAGTTAAAAAGCCATTAAGAAGCTTCCCAATCTTAGTTAAAACTTTTCCGGATTTAACTTTATTTTAAGGAAATTTCCTATGTTGTTTCTATTTGAGCAAGGAAGCTGCATTCAGTATATTAATCTGTTTAAAAAGGCTTTCATGATCACTCATTTTCTTCATCGTGTCCGAATCCAATATCCAAAACATCTGTCAAATAGCCCTTTTCCTAATTTTGTTTTCGAAGTGTTCAAGTAAGGACTAAAACCATCCAAATCTGTCATTGTTCGTAACTGTTTGGTTTTCATCCTGTCTTTTTTAATTCATGGATATGGGTAGGACTGGGACTTATATAAGACAAATGAAACTATCATAATGCAGGAAAATTAATAATTCCTTAATTCCAATTTCGAAGTACATAGTATAACATATTTTGGTGTATTTTACTGCCCGCAAGTGATCATGTTTCGCATCACAAGGAAAAGAAAAAAAAAAAGAAAATGGCGGAATTAAATTTTTATATAGTCAGTGTGACAGTGTATAACAAAAATAACAAATTACAAAAAGAAGCCTTAAAGTTCTGTCATTGTACTATGACACCTAGCATTTTGGTACTACAGCCAATATGCCCTAATTGACGGAAAGATAAAGGTTACAACGAGCTTCATTTCGAAACAGTTGGGGTTAGGACTTAGGAGTTAGGAGTGAACAATAATGAGATGGGCACATTTTGTTGAGCATTCCAATTTCTTTCTCCGGAACCTTTTCTTGGTAATTTGCTCTCAAATTTCTTATAAAATTATAAATAATCATATCAAAACTTGATTAAAGTCTTGGTTTTTTCTTAATGGCTGAACAGTCTAAAGAAGTTTTATCTCAAATAAATATTCCGCTTTACCATGAAATCAATGAAATGTCAACTGTAAATAATTGTAGACATCATGTAAATTTTCAAAAATTTTCCTTGACTTTCGAGAAAGCCAATCTAACAACAGCCTTTTATAATGGAGCCAATTACATCCCACCACCTCTCCTCTTATTTTTTTAACATTATAAGGATGTGGATTTTTGGTTGACCATCAATAGTGGTTGGTCAAAGGGTGTATTGGTAGTATTATCAACTAAAGGGGCTAGTAGACTGATAAAACTTTGGGGGAGGGTTTGTAATTTTTCCTGAAAAGAAAATTACTAGGAAAGAATGCATTTGACTAGCATAATAATACTATAATACATACTTATTATCCCATAGTCCACTACATAAAATATGCGCATGGTCGTTTGAGTTTACAGCCAATAGTAATTCTACACTCTTCGTCCTGCAAAATTATTATGTAGTTTGTATTTTCAGTTTTAGTTTATATTATATTAAATTAAAAGTGAAAATCCAAAATGAACCATAATTTTGGAATAGAGAATTTGTCAATTCTGCATGTTTTGAACAAAAAAAAACACTTATGCTATTTATTTTCTTCTTTTCCTTACTATGTATTTCGATCAGTTTCTAAATTAACTTCAAAAACGTCTTTTTTATATACAATAAAGGAATTCTATCCCTGACTATGCCCTCATATAATATCTGGTAAATCTCATAAAAGATCTTACATCGTAAGCAACAAAAATAATTGGAAGTCGAATCCGAGTTCAGTTTAGAATGGCAGCAAGCCTCTTACCAGATGGGTCAATCCCACTCTTTCTAATCTCCCACTAATTTGTGATTGTTTAACCATACACTTTAGTGAATATATTGATGGAATTCACAAATCTTTTAGTGGGAAAAAGAGTAAATATAAAGTAACATCACAAAGTGTGCAGGTTATAGTGAGGGTAAATTTTGTCTACCATATCATTCATTTCGGTATATAATAATATTTTAAATTTTTAGTAGTTTAAGATTTGAACAAAAAGGGAAGGGGTCCTCACTTTTTGGTAGCAATAGTGGCTAGACATTTTGTAACATCTCCGGTCCTTATTATAAGCCATTTTGATTTCGTTACATGTTTCATCTATGATGTCTTTTTAATTGGAGAAAAAAAATCTTTAAAAGCAAACGTTGTATTTTTCTAATTATTATGAAATGCTTTTAAGGTTTTTTCTCTAATTAAAAAGATATTTTAGGTTAAACCTATGACGGAATCAAAATGACTTGTAATAAAGACCGGGGGAGTAAGAAACAAGTATTTCATGTATTTTGTACACCAATTAGGTATGCAAAAAACTAAATAAAAAAAATTGACACTGATTTGCCCGGAAAATCTTGTCCCATTTGCCATGAAACTCCAGTACAAAATCAATAAGATATTGCAAAGAGAGAAACTCGCAAGCAACAAGAACTCTCTACAGCATAACATACAAATATTTTTGTTGCATGCTGGTTGTGGTTGGTGATAGCCTTTGCTGCTTGGGAAACTTTCTCCTTCTTCTCTTCAGCAGAAAGCAAAAGCAATTTTCCTTTGTTTTTCCAAACCTGGAGAAAAAATGGTGAATTTTGGCTCATCAAAGGAGATGAGAAAGTTAATCTCTGTTTTACTCAACATGTTGTTCTTCTTGTTGTTCATCTTCTACACCACCACCAATTACAATAGTTCCTCCTCCGGCATTTCCCCTGAATTCAAAGTTTCAACTCCTGGATGGATTCCGGATGACTGTTCAGGTGTTCATAACTTCACCGATTACGAATCTCGATGCGAATTCGTGAAATCCCATGTTGCCTGCAAAGGAAAAGGGTACATAAACTACCTCCAGATATTCTACTGCAATTGCAGCAGAATCACCGCAGTTGGGTACACTCTGCTTCTGATTTGGCTTCTCGTGTTGTTCTATGTTGTCGGAAACACAACCGCCGACTACTTCTGTCCTTCCGTCGAGCAGCTGTCGAGGATTTTGAAACTCTCCCCGACGATCGCCGGAACAACTCTGCTTCCGTTCGGAAACGGCGCAAATGATGTGTTTGCGAGCATTATATCTTTCACCCGATCCCACGATTCCGATGTCGGATTCAGCAGCGTTCTTGGTGGGGCGTTCTTCATTACTTGTTTCGTGGTTGGGATCGTGAGTATATCGATTTCTTCCCGGAGAACAACCGTGGATGAAGGGAGTTTCATCAGGGATGTCCTGTTCTTCATCTTTTCCCTCATTTCCCTGATGATGATCATCATTTACGGCCGAATTAACTTGCTGGTTTCGGTTTCCTACGTTTGTATCTACTTCTGCTACATTGGTCTGGTTTGTGCGATGCAATTGTTCTATGGTAAAAAGGAGAGAATCGTGAATCCTCCCGCCGCCGTTGACGGTAACAACAACAACAACAACAACAATATCTATGCTCCTTTGATGGAACCTGGTGATGACGAAGAAACAGGGGAATCCCAATTACTACTTCAAAATGTCTGTGATCATGGATGTTGCAGTGAAAAGGAACAACCCAAAAAGCTATTCGGGTTTTCGATTTCACAAGAACCCTGTCGGTCCATGAGGATGTTCCTCTCTGTTCTGGAATTACCTCTTTATTTGCCAAGAAGACTCACCATTCCGGTGGTATCCGAGGAAAGATGGTCTAAAACTTATGCTGTGATTTCAGCAATTCTGGCTCCGATTTTCCTAGCCATCATTTGGAATTCTCAATTCGAAAACATGGGACACACGGTGAGTTTAGCCATCTTCTTGACCGCAACTCTGTTTGGGATCATCCTAGGAAATTTCGCATTTTCATTGACGGATACCTCAACCGCACCAAAGGAATGCTTATTGCCTTGGCTCGCAGGTGGGTTCATAATGAGCATTACTTGGACTTATCTCATTGCATCCGAGCTTGTTTCCTTGTTGGTCTCTTTCGGCATCATTTTCGGGATCAACCCTTCGATTTTAGCCCTGACTGTTCTAGCTTGGGGGAATTCAGCTGGAGACTTGATCTCAAATGTGGCAATGGCGCTGAAAGGCGGTCCAGACGGGGTGCAAATGGCGATTTCGGGTTGCTACGCCGGACCGTTGTTCAACACATTGATTGGTTTGGGATTGTCATTGGTTTTTGCATCTTGGTCGGAATATCCAGCTTCTTATGTGATCCCAAGAGATCCTTATCTGTATGAGATTGTTGGGTTCTTGATTGCTGGATTGCTTTGGGCTGTGGTGATACTGCTGAAGAGGAACATGAGGTTGGATAGTTCTTTGGGTGCTGGACTTCTGGCTATTTACTTTTGTTTTCTGTTCCTTAGGTTTTCAAAGGGTCTTTGATCATCAATCATCAAAAAACTAAGGGTGTATTACTATATACTTTCAGAAGAAGGAGGAGAAGAAGAAAAAAAACCTGTTAGAGCTGAAATAATTGAATTTTGTTTTTTCGTCAATTAGAGAACCTTTCTTTTTTTTTTAAGTCAGTAGGTAATAATGAATCGTTTATGTTCCCGTGGTTAATTGGAGAATGTAATTTTGCAAGGTTTCATTAGCAAATCCTTTCTCCTACAATGATGAATCAATGAATATTTAGAAATCAATGAGCCATTTTTCCTTTTCTTTTCATGAGTAAGTTTCGGTTTTAGTGTCAATAATAGTGATTAATGTTGTAGATAAGTTTATGAGAGAGACAATTGACGAATAGTTTTATACTTTCAATTGTATTGTGTTATGTTTTTCCTCCATCCTTTCATGTTAAACTCTCCCGAAGTAAACCGGAAAAAAAACACAATATTGGTCCTCAATTTATTGAAAACTGACATAGTCTCTCCCCAATCTAATAGGTAAAGATAGATGAATATGTTACAATTGATGACATCTTGAAAAATGTAAAGATACTTTGTCCATCTTTGTTCCCTTAAAACAGTGTCATTATATGCATTTTATCACTTAACGATTTTTTTACCTTCATTGCCCTCGATAATATGATTTATGTGGTTCATGATTATTATTGCATATCATGAATGAAAAACCAAATGATCCAATTTGTTGGAAGTTCAATAGTAGAATTAATTTAAAAATTATCAATTGGTGGAATGAATGCAACAGTGTGCACTCATTTCGCGCCAGTACTAACAAAGGCCTTTTTTCTTGCTCGTGGAAAGTAGTGCCAAGTTTTTGTGCCGAAAATCGGAAGTTATAGTTTATATTTGAATTCTTATTATCCAGTACGAGTATTGTTAGTGAGTGCTGCTGCTGAATTACTTTTGCGGCAAACAGTCTCGTGAATTTTCAACGTTTGTATGATCTTCTGATAATTTTAAATTTAAATGGTTGTTAGAATATAATCTCGTTTTTTTACAACAACTTAAAGTAGTTTGACAATTTAAGTTTTGCCATAATATATTATATTATACCAAAAATTATTGCAGTGTAGCAATTTAATTTCAAAAAATATGAAGTTAATTTTTTTTAGGTTGAATTTCTTGATAAACGGGTGTGGGGCAAATGAAATTTACCCCTACTCATTGGGGATTCGAAAGGGACTCTAATTATTGGGGACCAAATGTCAATTCTTTATCACATTATTGGGCTATATATTGCAGGGAATTTCCCATGACCATTGGATACCAATGTCCAATGAGGCTCTTAAGTGCAGCCCTTTTATAATCATTTGGAAGTTGGATGAATGCAACCAATCAGAAGAACCCTGTGCTATGGATATAATGGCGTTGGTTGATTAATGATTAGAACCATTTTTCTTGACATTCAGCTGAAAGATCAATCTTCCGCGTGACTCATTTGGTGTTACATATGTATTTGACGTGTCAATTTAAGTAATACTGATACTTTCAGAAATTATTGTTCAGTTTGGATTTCATTTTTAGTACAAATTGAACTAAAATTGAAAATCCAAATTGAATAACAAGTATGGAAGTGAGTCTTTTTATGAACCTTTTACATGTTCAAAATTAAAAGTGAAGCCTCAAGACTCACGAGTATTTCAAAAATAGTGTTCATTATATAGATACAAATATTTAGATGGTGACATAAAAAAACGATTTTATGGACTAAGGATTTACAAGATTTGTTGCCTCTGTCATATCTCATTAATTTTATGATTATTAATTGTACGGTATATAAAATCTTATAAGTGATATATGTATGTATATAAGATAGTTATTAGTAGACATCAGTTTTAGACACACTATTTTTTTAGGGTTTTGTAGTAGAACATACTCCCATATGAAATTTACTAATTAGATTTTTCTACATTTTACATCTCATCCACGAATTACATCTCATAGATATATTTACTGATACGGCGTTAAGGTGCCGAAAATTGTAAACGGACTAGTTAAAATTTATGAAACACGTAAAACTCACATTCCAATTATAGTTTAAATAACTCCTAACAATAAATCTCTTGCATGTAATTCAAAAACCACCGAAACTCGTCGTTGCAAAAGGAAGCAAGCGGGAACGGAAAGCCTTCTCAGTTAAAAGCTTCATACTCCCATTGCTGCCGACTCCCTCACCAGACAGTTTAAAGCGATGCTACTAATTCTTTTCCAGATCAAATACTCCCTCCGTCCCATAATTATTGTCCGGTTTGAGTTTTCATTTTTAATTCAAATTGTATTAAAAGTGAAATCTCAAACCGGACAATAATTTTGAGACTGAAGGAATATACTCAATATCAATATGAACAATCGTGTCTAAAAAAAACTACTAAGATATATAAAAAAAATTAACTAAAACTAATTAATTAAAAAAGCACTTCCCAGTTAAGGAAAACGTTTCATTCAGATTTTAAAAAAAAAAAATTACTTCCCATCAAAATGATTACAATCGTGCGATTTTTTTTTCTGTAAAAAGGAGGGAAAAAAAGTCCTTTAAATACTAGCTGATATCGATTAATTAAGGTGGTTCCGTCACTTACTCACGTGTACTTGTTCGACACAACAAAAGCATTTTTTCGCTTGAGTTTCATTAGTATCTTATGCTTCGTTAAGTTCTCCGAAAAAAAAATAATAATAATAAAGTATTGTTTTATTTGGTTGCATGATCTGAGTGGTATAAACTGGTTCAATCCAATTCGAATATTCTCTTGTTGGACTTCGATTTTCAACGGAAAAAATTAGGGAAAATGTTAGAGTGTTGGGTTGAACTTACAAAATTAAAAACCTAATCATAACTCTCAATATTATGATAAGATGAATGAATATCTAATCAATTCTCACGAATAACCAACGTTTTGTCTTGAATTCGGAAATCGGATAATGTTATTGTTTATACTTTTGTTAAATTTACTGATAATTTAATTTTGTATTTCACGTGGTGTTGGACTATTTTCAGTGAACAAACGTTCTATACACCACATATTTTATATTCCATCCATAATCCTATTCGTGGAAGAGTATTTATATATACTTATCCATGTAAGCATATAATGAAATTGGATTCTTTTTATTGAACTATCTGCACTTTATTATTCGCTAATTTAAATACTCCTTGATATTCTCACTTCTCATCATACTGATTCCTTATTTCTACGGGGGGATTTGTCTTCCAATTGGAAGATAATGTGGAGATCTGGTCCCTGCCTCACCCTGGCTGGGTAGCCTTCCCCTATTTCATTTTTGTTTTAGATCATTTAAGAACAGAAGTCAAACTATGCTCAATAGATCGAATCATTACAATTCCAAAATGGATCCAATCACTTTGCCCTCTCCACTTGGAGTTTTTAATGGACCATTGAGATTATTTATTTATTTATTTATTTTTTATGTTCAAACTAATTCAGATTCTCTTGCTAGCACTAATGTAATTATGTAGAAACATTGTTCCTTTATTGAAATCGGGCTCTTTTATTTTTATTTTTTTTCAATATATATATTTTATCAAGAATTAAAAAAAAAATCAATATTGGAAATATTTTAGAAGGTATATTTATGAAAAAAATATATTAATTCAAATTTTTAAAAAAATCAAAATGCCCTGAGGAAAAAGAAATTAAAAAAAAAACTACAGATGAAATTATGTTATTTTAGCAAATGAATAATACGGTATTTAATTAATGCTACAATGTCAATGATATATACCTATTGAGATGGAACATTTTTACATCTCTACATTTTTTTTCTCTGAAACTATTCCAAAATTTTACCAGTAACATTTTTCACATCTCAATACTTCTTTTCTTCTTCTTTTTTTTTTTTACGTGCGATTTTACAAGTTACAACACGTTGTAAACAGAAAAGGATGTTATTGCGGCGTAGACGCGTAGGAGCCACCATCGCCATACAAAATTCGTGCGTAAATGAAAAAGAACCTCTTAACCTAACAAGATTCCTTCCAAAGATATAGTATTCTTTACATGTCGGCGGGGTTGGGATAATTTGAGCTAATTCAACGCTTTTGTTTGTCGGACATAAGGCCAGTTTTTTTTGTTGTTTTTCTTTTTCTTTTTAACTGTTTAGAGTGCTTATCAAGCTTTACTGCTCAACGTTAATGAACCCCCAAATTAGTACCAACAAAATGGAACAGGTACACTTTTAGCCAACCCAACAATGAAATGAGTACAAATAATTTTTTCCTCTAAAATACTCCCTTCGGTCTTTAATATAAGGCATTTTAAGATGCCCTAAGTTTCATCTGTTATGCATTTTGAATTGACAAATAACCTTACAAATATATGTTCATATTCGTTGTATTGTATTGATTGTCATGAAATATTTTTAAGGTTTTTTTTGTCAATTAAAAATGCATATTAGGTAAAACTTATGACAAATCAAAATGTCTTATATTAAGTACATGAGAGAGTATGTTGTTGTATCTAGGGAATACATTGATATACTTGCCCGTATTGATATATCAAGATTAGTTTCGGTCGGATGTAATCTAATGTGATAAATGAACAGATTGAAAACTTCATGTAATGTAAAAAGTCACCAAAAAAATGACTTCTCAATAAATTTAACATAACTATTAATTGAGCTCCACAACACAAACTTGAGGTAACAGCTCTTGATTCCATATACACAAGCATCGTGAACCCTAGCCACAAAATATAAAAATCATTTTTTAATTAGATAGAACAAATCATAGTTCTTACACAATGAAACCCAATACACTGCAAAAGAAACAAAGGTCTCATTTAATCTGTGACTTCACCGCCCTTTCGCGTACGTAACAGTTTTTTAATGCGAGGAAGAGTAAGAAATGCGATATTATCAATGCTGAATAAAAATGATAGACTAATTTCATGAAGGATTACTACATTGTAATTGTGAAAGTCATTTCACAATTTTTCAGCTTTTGAGTTTTTAATAGGGAGCTATTTGGTTTGGTGAAGAAAATATAAAATGCGAAATAGTTTATAAGGTGTCATCCGAGTTCTGCTTAAAAGAAAAAAAAACACTAATAAATCATCGGCATCAAGGCTAATCGTGCAAATTAGACTAGATTATTATGTTTGCTATAACATTTCTTTTTCATTTGTGAAAACACATACATGTACAGTATATATAGGTATCACATTATAATCTAAAATAAATTGTTTCCCTTTTGTCATTTTGTGAGGTGTTAGGGCCGGTGACAGATTTTTTTTTTTTTTTTTAGATGAATACGAATTTTTAGTAAAAAAATTATGCATTTAACTCTAATTTGTAAATGTTTCTAAAATTGTATAATCTAAATTGTGATGTTTGTAAGTCTCGCAATCCTTTCGTGCATGTTTGTTTCGTTTTTTTAGTGTGTGTTTTTAAGTATTTTTTGTATTGAAAATGTAAATAAGTGTATTGAAAATATAAAAAAGTATGTTAGAATGAGACAGATATTATTATATTATTCTGAAAAAACAATGAAAGCAAACAGAGTCAAGGAAAAAAAAAATGCTAAAGGGCACCTCTCTAGCAAATGAGCACACAAAATGAATCATTGCTCAATGGGGTATCTAATTGGGTGGGGGGTGGGGCAGGGGGAGGGTGTGTAAAAAAGGAGAAGAAAACAAATGCATGTCTAAAGACATCCTGACCCTCCTGGCCCTTGACTTGATGATGATTTTCTGTTCTGTTTTAAACTACAAATTTTGTTTGTTTCCTTTTGCTTTCCCCAATGGAACAGTAACCAAAAAAAAAAAAAAAAAAAACACCCCTTCTTCTACAAACTTCTCTTCCCATTTCATCAACTTCTCTAGTTTTAATACAACTTCCATTTTACCAGTTTCAAAGACTTGAGATCACTTTTATACACATCTCCATCACTCACTCTCCATAACAAGAAACAGGGCCCTCCTCAATATCAAAGTTCCCACTTAAAAATCAACTCTTTACTTTCTTCATTCTCCTCCACCATTATTATCAGCTTGATATATCACCCAATTCTACAGGCCACCCTTTTGATGCCAAAAAAGTACCAAAAAAGTGGTTAAAGATCTGGATTCTAATTGAACTTTTTCTTCCTGCACAGGTATTGATAAGGAAGAAAGAGCCAGCCACACTTATAAGTTTGCTTCTGCTACAAGCCTAAAAAACTCTCTCCCAATAAAAAGCTGCTTAACAAACAAGCAGATTTTGAGAAAAAGACCCCAGAATTTTATTTTATTTTTATTTTGGTGGAAGGAATGTATGGTGATTCTCAAGCATTATATTCTGATGATACTATATTTCCCCTGACTCCTAATGCTAAAGAAGCTTCATTTGCCAAGAGCAGGGAGGAGTTAGTCATGGACTCTGCTGATTACAATAAACATTATGGTGGTGGAGCTAATGGTAACCAAAATGGTTCTGGCCTGTTGAGGTTTCGCTCTGCTCCAAGTTCTTTCTTGGAGAATTTCACTGATGGGATTGGAGAAAGTGCGAAAACAAGTGATGAAAATTCAGGGTTGACCTCAGGACTCTGTTCTGCTAACAATGGTAATGGTTATTCTGTGAACTCACAGTTACCACCTCAGTATCCTACTTCTACTCCAGTTGGGTCTGTCAATGGTGGATATAGGATGGTGAATTCATTAGGGATGGAACATCATCATAATCAAGGACAGTATAAGATTGGTTCAAGCCTTATGAGGCAAAATACCTCCCCTGCTGAATTGTTCTCGCACCTCTCTGCTCAAACTGGTACTGTTTATGTTCTCAATTATTGGAGTTAGTTCTTGATCATACTGAAGTCTAATTATATTCTAAGTTTCAAAACTTTGGTACTTTTAAACGTTTAGTTTTTACATCACTAGATGGAGATAGATTGGGAACACATGACACATCTCTTGATGCCTAAGTTCATGTCTTCTTAATTGGTAGATGATTTTTTTGCTTCTGTCTTTGAACTTATCCCTTTTCTATACAATTCATGCACTTTATTCATATTTTCTTCCTCTGCTGTTTGAAATAAAGATTGTAGCTTGATAACAAACCTAAATCTTTTCAAACAAAGGACTAAGTAAGAAAAGAAAATAAAATAAAATAAAATTCTCAGCTACTATTGTTAGTCATTGCCAATTGAGATACAGATTACAGAATATAAAACTAGTTTCCAGTACTGAGATTGTATCAGCAATATGCAGGCTATGCCAAAATTAGAGGTGCAAGACGTCATAGAGCAGCAAATGGAACTTCAAGTCATGGGTTCACCTCAAACATGTTGAGTGAGCCTATGAACTTCCCATCGGGACTCCATTCTACCTTAGGGATGTTGTCTAGAATATCAGAAGTTGAGAATGAGACTGGTGGGATTGGCGAGGACGAAAAAATTGGAATTACCAACGGAAATAATAGTCAATTTGATCACGGCTCTGGTGGGTTACCCTTTGGATCATGGAACAACCCGTCCAAATTCGCTGAAAATTTCACCGGCCTGAAGAGGGAATTAGATCTAGATGCTGATGACAACATGTTTTCTGATACTCAGGTATTAATGTTTTAGCCCTCAAATTTGTTGTCATTTGAGGACTGAATTTTTTCTGTTGTTTTGATTCATTGCAAAATTGTAATTGTGTTGAAGCAGGGTGGAGAGCCTCGACATCAGCCTCAAATTTTGTCACACCATTTAAGTTTACCCAAAACTTCAGCAGAACTTGCTGCTATGGAGAAGTTATTCCAGTTTTCCGATACAGTTCCTTGTAAGATTCGAGCTAAGCGTGGCTGCGCTACCCACCCGCGAAGTATAGCAGAGAGGGTTAGTCCTTGAGTTACATTGGTTCTTCAAAACTTAGTATTTCGTCCCGAGTGATGATAGAGAAAATGAATTCGTAAAAGATTATGTTACAAAAAGACATACATAGATCTGGTTAATTTTTATCACTATATACGTGTCACATTATTCACTACTAAATCAACCCTAATGTACTGAAAATCTTACAGGTACGGAGAACACGAATCAGTGAAAGGATGAGAAAGTTGCAGGAGCTTGTTCCAAACATGGACAAGGTACATTTTGTATTCACCTGAAATGATGATGAATTTGCATTTTCTTAAAATAGTATATCCGGGATTTTCCTTGGATGTGGAGAAGTTGAAAGTTGTGAATTTCTTGGTGTCAGCAAACCAACACAGCAGGCATGTTAGATTTGGCTGTCGACTACATTAAAGACCTTCAAAAACAGTACAAGGTAGACCAACTGAAAATATCAGTCATCCCTTCATTTTTTGGGCTAAAAAGAACATTTTCTTATCCATCCATTTTTTATTTTATTATTTTTCACCTTTTTACCTGCAGAAGCTGAGTGAGATTCGTGCAAAGTGCAAATGCTCAGCTCTGAGGCAGCATGGTCCAGATCACATGATTTGACTTGCTTAATCTGTACAGTAATAAAAAGACACTAGTTTGAGAAGCTCTCTAATTAATACTTCATCCGTCCCGGAAAAAAAAAATCATGTTTGGGACGGGATTTGGGTTTTTTAGCCTTCTTTGATCATGGCAATGATGATGATTTCTAGAAGTTTTACTACTTCAAAAGATAGTTTAAATTGACAAACTTTCCCTGCTGGAAAAGGAAGAGATATCAGCAATTTGTACAGTGCATTGCTTCCTTAAATATGTTCATAAATTTTCCAATTTTAGATGCTTTAAGGTTGGTTATTATTAGATGGCTAGATTTGTTTCATGAAATTCAGGTTCAGATTTCTTTCTATATTTAGGCCAACAAGGTCTTAAAGGTGGTTGGAGTTTGTTCACTTTGTTGTTGGTGCCAAAGTTTTAAACAAATATATCTATGGAATCCATCAATCAAACTGCTTTTTGATGACTTTTGTGTCTCTTACTACTAATAGCAACCTTATCTAATCCTTTATATTTTTTTAATATCATCCTTGGGAATCTAGATTTCCAAGAACATAATTATAAGAGAAAAAGTATTCTTCCAATCCAGAAGAAATATTTTAATTATCTCATTATTAATTCACAAACTATCTCATTATTATCTCATTATTTTAATTCACAAACTATACTATTAATACAAAACAGAGATTACACCAAGAAGAAATGGCTTGAATTGCACACTCATGTAGGGTTTGATTCACAGAAAATGTTACAACCACTTGGCTCTGTTTAGTTTTTTTTTTTTTTTTTGGTTTTTCATAATTTTTTTATTAATAAATCTCACATTTCAATATAGTTTTTTACATTTCTGTACATTTTTTTACACTGTCTTACAAAAAATACCTAACAGCACATACTGAAAAAATGATCCAAACATACAGTTTTTTAGTCGACACTCATCAGTCCTGCCTGCCATCTTCAAGACTTGGGTGAGGAGGAAATGGAAAACGTGAAAATTGCTAATTTCTTTTAATTCTTTTCTAAATCACTAAACTATCTCTTTTAATGTTTTTTTTTTTAAAAAAAAATGTCCTTAGAAAAAATATAGTGTTGACTCTAAATGATTATAATTAACTTTCTTCGAGAAGAAAAATAAAACCTACAATATATTATTTATTAAATTTATATAATGGTTACGGATTATTAAAAATATCACACCATTTTTCATTTATATTCTGAAACTAATGATCCAAATTAATTATAGGATTTGAAAAGTGAATTTATACTTTAGTTATTAACTTGATTTTTCTTTTTTACTATTATGACTGTAAAATTAGACATCTATAACATATTTAATGGGTTGAGACATTTTATTAGTAAAAAGTAATGATTGAGATGTGATCAAAACAAAGTAAAATATTTTTTTAAAAAAATAATAATCAGATTTACTTAAAACGATAAAGATTCCGTTTCAGGTTTTGTGTAACGCATCTTATAACATCACTTAGAAAATAAGATTTGACATGTACTCCATCTGTTTTCAAAAGATTATACTAAAAGAAAAGGTTCAATTTAGACAATTATTTTGGATAAAGAGTTGTTTGCTTGATTGTAATCATTAAATCTATATTCAATTCGGGCATAGCTCAAGCATAGTGCTAGTAGAATATTATTTCAAAAATGGAATAATTTTGAATTTTCATCCAATATTATCGAGACTTTAGCCGCCTATGCATATTTTCAATATGTCAATCGGCATCCATGTAACATTTGGTGATACAAATATATTGTACGGGCAATGATAGATATAATGACTAATTATAGTGAAAATATATAGTGACTAATGAAAAAACAAGTACACCACACTTACTAAATATATTACTTGTTAATTACGGGTAAAAATATAATTTTATGGGAAATATATAATTTTAACGGTTAAATAACTAAAAAATAAAGGGCTAGAATTACTCCACATCTGTCACTATATTTTGTCACTATTTTTTTCACTATATATCATTTTTCTATATTGCACTATCCATTTTTCTATATTGCACTATCTATATCATTAAATCTACATTCAATTCGGGCATAGCTCAAGCATAGTGCTAGTAGAATATTATTTCAGAAATGGAATAATTTTGAATTTTCATCCAATATTATCGAGACTTTAGCCGCCTATGCATATTTTCAATATGTCAATCGGCATCCATGTAACATGTGGTGATACAAATATATTGTACGAGCAATGATAGATATAATGACTAATTATAGTGAAAATATATAGTGATTAATAAAAAAACAAGTACACCACACTTACAAAATATATTACTTGTTAATTACGGGTAAAAATATAATTTTATGGGAAACATATAATTTTAACGGTTAAGTAACTAAAAAATAAGGGGCTAGAATTACTCCACATCTGTCACTATATTTTGTCACTATTTTTTTCACTATATATCATTTTTCTATATTGCACTATCTATTTTTTCAACAATTCGTAAATTACAATATAGATTATTTTTGGGATGGAATGAGTTTCTTATTTCGAAACTTGCGAGAAAAAAATGTCACTCGCCATATCAGGTCAATTGATCAATTTAATGAGTTAAAAATGATACTTTTCATATTTCAAAGTTTTCAAAACACGGTTAGACAAAAAAATTACACATAATTATTTCTGAAAAATGTACTCCCTTCATTCCAAAATAAATGTCATCTTACATTTTGTACATAGTTTAAGAAATTCTTAAATAGGAAAATAAAATTACTTGAACATCCTCAACCAACTCCATTACAAAAATGTCCACCAATAGTGTTAATTCTTTTGAGGATAATTTCAGAAATTTTGGACAAAAAGTGCATTGAAATGTGATAACGACACTTATTTTGAAATTTTTCTTTACTAAAGCGACACTTATTTTTTAAGTGAAGGAGTACAATAAAGAAATCATTATACTTTAGAAGATGACCGTCATACAAAGTTACAAAGAAACTCTTAATAGACGAATATTATACATTTTGGAAAGTGTTCAAACTCTTGAGTTAAACCTTTCATAGTTTGATAGTAAGATAATTATAACTGATGACTGATGTAGAATTGAAATTGATTAATGACTGGTGTAGAATTTTGCAGTGCACGCACGTAAGAATTACGGGAAAAATGTCGTTTCTACCTAAAGTTTTGTCCTCATCGTCAATCATAACCAATAGATTTTTGATTAGCTAATTTTATCTTAATCTTTGAAATTTTCACCAATTTCGTCCAATCAGCCCATTTTCCGTCCAAATTAACGGATCTCTGTTAGTTTTTTAATAAAATAATAAAGTTAAATACAAAAACACCCCAGTAAGTTTTAAAAAATTTTAAAATAATCCTAAAATATATAAAAATAACAAAATAGTCCCTTTTCACCTTTTTATTTTATTTTTCTTTATTTTGTTCCATTTCTCTCAACTACTTTTAATGACCATAAAAGTATATTATATGAGTTTTAAAAAAATTATTTATTTTCAAACTCCACCGTAAAAATTAATCTTTGTATAGTTGTAACACATGATTGTATTTATATAAGCATGTTAATCTTTTTAATAATATAGTTTAGTAATAAAGATTAAACTCATATAATATACTTTTATTTTATTCTGATTTATTTTATTCTTCCTAACATAAAGATTAAAAACATTTAAATGAAACTAATATTCCACATAAAAATAAAATATTAGATCAAATAAAAAATAATATATGAGTATAGTTTAGTGTATTACAATTTAACTAGAGAGACTACATGGCATAATATAATTTATAAAAAAAAAGTTCATACTTATCAATTCGAGGATTTAACATTTTGTAATAATTATTTGAGATATTAATATATCTTACTATGGAGGAAGTCTTACTAGCTTATTCTATATGATTTTAGTTTAAAATAAATGAATGCAGGTAACATTATAGTAATAAGTTGTTGTGATAGAAAATAGCTTTTAGATTCAAGAAGGAAAACTTATGTTTGGAGGATTTTTTTTAAGGTTTTAATTATTTTATATTTTACTTATTTTTTTATGAATTATATTAATGCAAGTTATAGTCTCTTGATTAAATTGTAATACACTAAAATATATTAATATTTCTTTAGTTGAGCTAATATTTTATTTTTATGTGGAATATTAGTTTCATTTAAATGTTTTTAATCTTTATGTTAGGAAGAATAAAATAAATTAGAAAATTACTGTCTTAATTATTTTATATTTTAGTTATTTTTTTATGAATTATATTAATGCAAGTTATAGTCTCTTGAGTGAAAATATAATACACTAAAATGTATTAATATTTTTTTTATTTGAGCTAATATTTTATTTTTATGTGGAATATTAATTTCATTTAAATGTTTTTAATCTTTATATTAGGAAGAATAAAATAAATCAGAAAAATAGTGTCTTTATTGTTAAACTATGTTATTAAAAAAATTAACATACTTATATAAATACAATCATGGGTTACAACTATACAAAGATTAATTTTTACAATAGAGTTTAAAAATAAATAAATATCTTTTTAAAACTCATATAATAGACTTTTATGGTCATTAAAAGTAGTACAGAGAAATGGAACAAGATAGAGAAAAATAAAATAAAAGAGTGAAAAAGGACTGTTTTGTTATTTTTATATATTTTAGGGGTTATTTTTAAATTTTTTAAAATTACTGGAGTATTTTTGTAATTAAATTTATTATTTTATTAAAAAATAATGGAGATCCGTTAATTTAGACGGAAAATGGACCGATTGGTCGAAATTGACAAAACTTTCAAACATTAGAGTAAAGTTGGCTAACCGAAAATTTATTAGGTATAATTGACGACGAGGGCAAATCTTTGGGTAGGAACGATATTTTTTTTCCTAAGAATTACTCTTGAATTAGCAAAATAAAAGCAACACATCACTTGGTTATATTGTTAACTGAAATCATAGTGCTTTTATTAGCCTGATTGCCTGAAGCCTGAATGTATGTGACTTATATGAAATGGACTTAGATCTGGGCCTGCTGATGTGATGCATTGTCCATTTCAAGGGATCTCCCATTTTCTTAAAGAAACATATCACATGAATTCTATTTGCAGACTTGCAGTTCTTATATTTAAGATGTAATAACTTTTTCTTTTTCTTTTTTTTTTTTTTTGAAGAAGAAGTTGTAAAACTCATTGAAGGCTGATGTTCCCATTCAATCTTTTTATTATTTTTTTTTAAAAAAAAAAGAGGTGAGAGGCTGACAAAATTAAATTAAGATGTTTGGCGCTAATATCAAGTAACTGATAGTTGGATATGTCAGCGAAATTCGACTCATGAAATATATAATTAATCTGTAGAGATCAATTTTGACTAGCCAATTCACATAAGTAGACAAAAAGGATTTAGATAAGTAGAAATTATCTTCAATACAGAATCAAAATGTTATTAAATTATATACTTGCAAAAATAAACTAACTGTCGCAATTTCGCAAACAATCATATGGCATTCTTCATTCCAAAGTAACCTTGAAGACAACTCTCTTTTCTTTTAGGTACAAAAATGAGGAGAGCTTTATGTATCAGCTTAAGTCCGTAACGCAAATAACGTATTCTAAAACTTGGCATCCATGTCCAATTGTTTAAATTTTCACTTTTTTTTCCATTTAATTGAGCTTGAAAATCAAAATATCACCATTATAAACTATTACAGTATGCCTCTATCTAAGTCTACACTTATACTGATCTTATTATTATTATTATTATTATTATTATTATTATTATTATTTATTTTTATTTTTTTTTACATTTTGCAAAAAGATTCCTCTTTGGAGTTAGGAGAGTTGGAGGTAGAGAAACCGTTGATGGGTCCCGCAATAACCGTCGTCCTTCCCGAGTTTTTTTTACTCTTACCACATAACTTCCACAAAACTGTCATTTTTCCTACAATGGACTTGTCCAAATTCTAATTATTTCTTCTTTGATTTTTTCTTTTTTGTTTATCAAACCCTAGAGTATAATCAATCAAATCTTACCTTAGGTTCCCTTTACTCACATTGCCATTGTATAACATCAAAAGGGCCTTGAAAATTCTTGTATTTCAGGTGTTAAAATTGCGGGAAATAAATAAGTGAATCAGCATTTGGGGAGATCAAAATCGTCCTCCTCCTTGAAAAGACTCTGTTTCTGTGGCCATTTGATCCTTGATGATGCGTTGAATCTGCTTAGTTTTGGAGGGCTTGGTTCAAAAAGAGTTTTGATCCGAGACACAGAGAGAATATTGGGGGATAATGTCGAATTTGTATGGGGATTTTAATCAAAAGATTGATTACGTGTTCAAGATTGTGTTGATTGGAGATTCTGCAGTTGGGAAATCTCAGCTTCTGGCTCGTTTCGCCAGGAATGAATTTAGTTTGGATTCAAAGGCTACAATTGGGGTGGAATTTCAAACCAAGACTCTGGCTATTGATCAAAAAACCGTGAAGGCACAAATTTGGGATACTGCTGGACAAGAAAGGTGTTTTCTTAGCTCTTGTAATTTTTTTCATATGCATTTCATATCGTTGAGTTAATATTGTCCTGCATTTTGAAATGTGAGTCCTGACGTATAAGAATTCAGGGGTACTTTCATAGATTATGAACAAGATGAATCTTTAGTAAACGGATTAGAGAGATGATGGTTTCTGATTATCATGATTTCCGGGACAGAGAAATTTTCATAAGTTTTATGACATAGAACAAATGCCAAGCAAAAAGCTGGAGTTAAATGTCTTTGATTATCTGCACGCTCAGGCACAGGAAATGGATTTCAGTTTTCTTATCTGATTTTGATCGTTGCATATACGTAAGGGTGTGAAATGGCGTTCGTTCTCTTTTAATCCAAATGAGCAGAATAATTCTGCTTGAATCACACTCTTGCTTGCACATTTGAATTTAGTCGTTCATTTCAGCTGCACTACCTCTGAAAAGTTCTGGTGTACACATTCAGCTACTGAAAATGTTTGTTTTGGTTGTCAAAAATGTAGGACTAATTTGTTGCCATAGATCGGTAAATGTAGTGTCCGATTGTTCTCAATTGCGATTGAGGGAGTTTGATATCAACTTTAGATTGGTACCATAGCCATGTGATTGACAATTTTCTTCGCTATGCGACCACCATGAGGCTGTCATAAGGGACATAAAACTTGCTAGGGGACACTGAAGATAAAATTTGGATTTACGAGGTTGTGTGAATGTGGAGAAAAATGTCCCATTAACAGGCAACAGCGGCCTAATTGAATTGTTCTGACTTGTGTTAGATGCTGAGAAAACTCATTGGAATTTGTATAGTGATATCCTCCGAAAGCAACAGTGTCAAAACTTTCAAGCTTATGATGCTATCCATATCAAAGCAGACAAAGTTCCCGTTCAATTTCTGAGTCACCAATAGATTGCTGTTCTGGAAAGATGCTTATTCTAACAGAGAACACAATGTACTAGTTAATTTGGTTTCTTGTTCAAGCATCTAACCGTGTTTGTGATCTGCTTCATTCCAGGTACCGTGCGGTAACAAGTGCCTACTACCGCGGAGCTGTTGGTGCAATGTTGGTTTATGACATGACGAAACGACAATCATTTGATCACATGGCCAGATGGCTGGAGGAACTGAGGGGGCACGCCGATAAAAACATTGTCATAATGCTGATCGGAAACAAGTGTGATCTGGGAAGTCTTCGAGCTGTACCTGTTGAGGACGCCCAAGAATTCGCCGAAAGAGAGAACTTATGCTTTATGGAGACATCGGCGCTAGAATCAATAAATGTCGAGAGCGCCTTCATGACAGTCCTTACCGAAATATACAGAATCATAAGCAAGAAATCGCTTAACGCTGGCGATGGCCCCGACTATGGTAAGTCGGGATCTTTGAAGGGGACGAAGATCATTGTTCCTGGCCAAGATTCAGATCCTGGTGGGAGAAAGACTGGCTGTTGCATGTCATCATCATGAGTAGTACTTTTCCAAATACTTGTCTTTTTTTTTTTCTTCCTAGTTGGATAGGCAGCAAAGCTTTAATTTTGAAGCACTGGAAAGTGTACAAAATTGAGCAATATTATTAGTTTTATCGATCTTATAGGATGATGAATAGAGAAGCAGCCATTTATAATATCTCATTGTTGTATCGGGATAGGAAAATGCTATTAAGTAACGAGCATTTGGAGATCGGGTAGTGTTTGATTAGAATGTGTAACAAAGCCTTTGAGGAGGTTATGTTCTTATGCTTTTTCGTACTAATTAAAGAAGCATTAAGCACCGACTTTTATACTCCCTCCGTTTCAAAATAAGTGTCGCTTTAGCAAAATGGAAAAATTTTAAAATAAGTGTCCTTCTCACGTTTCAATACACTTTTTGTCCAAAATTTCTAAAATTACCCCCAAAAGAATTAATACTATTGGTGAACATTTTTTAAATGGGGTTGGTTGAGGTTATTCAAGTAATTTTATTACCCTATTTAAGAATTTCTTAAACTATGTGCAAAGTGTAGGACGTCACTTATTTTGGAATGGAGGGAGTATTTTTTTTTGTGTTCATAAATCGCACTCTTTGCTGCTAAGTGGCAGGGGGATAAGTGGCTTACCACCAATGCGTTACCGTTTCCTTTCGTTTTTAACCTATTACCTCTATCGATATGCAGTTGTTTTTTCAATTGTTTGATAATAATAACTACAGTTGTGTACCATTATGTAGAGAAGTGTATACTAGTAGTAACGAAATTTCAAGTAATCTTGTGAGACTCATCCCTTGGAGCAAGTTTAATGGAAGTAAGTAGCATGGAACCACGTGCCACTTACCATTCCAGTCAACTCTCTCCCATTAAATAATCTCCAACAACTCATGTAATTCAACATAATTTTACACTGTTACGTTAGCATTTTACTACACTCTCACTACATACACTTTTTCCTACAACAATTTTACACTTACTACTTATATAATTTTGGACCCACAACTACCCTACTATTATTACTCCACATCTGTCCTACTATTAATACTTTACTATTTATCAAAATAATTATATTTATTTTTAATAATAATTACATTTATGTTTCATAATTACATTTTTATAATAAAAAAAATAATAACATTTATGTATGACTTTTAAAGTGCATTATAGAATTTTTTTTATTTTTTAAAAAATATATAAACATAATTAAATAATATAAGAATATAAAAAAGCTTAATAATCATTGACTAAATAATATATTAATAAAGTACAATAATTAATTTAAAAAATAACATTAATAAAATTTCACTACAAGACGATGTGTATAGAAATAGCGAAAATCTAAAAATATTTAAAAATAATTTAACAACATTACATTTCATTAAAATCATTTCCACATTTAAAGGGAAAAAAATAGACATGAAAAGAGTTTTGCGGGTTGGAAATGGTACTTAAATTTATTTTTTTTTATAAAAATAGAATTTACATAAAAAAAAATGAAATAACACAAAAAAGAATAAAAGAATAACGCATGGAGGCTGACCATTCGTTGGCCCCACCGAAAAGAAAAATTGCAAAAAAAAAAAAAAACAGAAATAGGGCTGGCCAGCGACTGACCATGTGATGGGTCCTCCGTTGTCCCACTCTATATCAGAATTGCATCGTTTGAAATATTTCCTCCTCCTGACTTTATTAAACACCTTCCATCGGTCTCCTTTTTTTTTTTTTTTTTGTCCTAACATAACACATCAAATAAACGATTGTTGTAGATGCCCTTAGAGCAACTCCATTGATTTATCATGTGTGGTTAAAAGCCCGGGCCATTTTTCTAACATTCTTCACTTTTCTTTGAACTCAACTCTCCAGCACAATGGTCTTACCCATTTTTTAGGGGCCATTTTTACTTTCAAATTTTTTATTTATAAAAGTTAATCTGCAAATATTCAATTAGGCCCCACATTAACGGAGAGTAACTATTCAAATTCAACTCTCTCCAATGAGTGAGAGTTGGGTCATGGTATAGGTGGCACGTGAGGTTGAGTAATGCCTTTCCGTAAATTTGTTTCTTACCTGCATTTTGCTGCAAAATGTGGGTTAATGGTGGGCCAACTTGATCTTTTGCAGGTTGAGTTTTGTTATAAAATAAAAAAATTATTTTTGGTGCAGAATTTAGTTAGGGTCCGTTTGATAAAAATTAATGTTTAGTTCTGAATGCTTAATACTGAATAAGAAATACTGAATTCATTAAGTAGTTACGAAATAAACAATTAGCTAACTTTTATTGCTTATATTTTGTACTGCAGTTTCAACATCACTTAATTCAATAAGTAGTTTAATTTTTGTTATCAAACATGCTGAAACTAATAAGTACTTAATAGAATAACTTTAAGCAATAAGTAGTGTTATCAAACAAGCCCTTGCTCATTATGGATAAATTCAGTATAAGAGTATATGGAATAAAAGGGCGAGATTGGTATGTGCTTATGTGAAAGGATGAAACCCACTTATTCTATCACATCAACATGAACACATGAATTTTCTCATAATTCTATTTAAAGAAACCACACTGGTGTTACCAGAAATGTGGGTCTTGATACACAGAAGTTGAAAATATTGACCCTACCTTTATTTACTTTTGTTTTTTCTCCAAGGGTGTTACCCGCACTCATTTTCTTTTCATGAGAACAATATAATTTTTTTTTTCAGTATAAAGGGGTTTTATCGTAGGTTGGTCCATGTTTTGCAACATATGTCAGAAAACAAAAGAAGCAACATAGTTTTGTTTGTTACGGGCTGCAATGGAGTGAAAGTAATAGTGGTAGTAACTGACTCATGATTTGAAGCCAGTTACCTTCCACTACTGTTGCTCTTAAGAAAAAGAGTTAACTTTTATCTTAACACAATTTATTGAAAATTCAAAACAATTTTGCACGATCAATTATTTACTCTTGAAATGGTGCCACATTGACTTTAGGGATAAAATAAATCATATTCGATATCTAAGGGGCCAGCATTAGAAGTAGGGGAAAGTAGCTTAAAGCCTTAAACCTAATTAGATGTTTGGCCCGGACAGATGCCCGGGGCGCCCCTCTACTTTAATTTTGTATTAATAGATAAATGAATTTTTGATTTGGAAAAAATAAAATAGCTTCAAATTTGTTTTTTTTTCCCCTTTTTTAGCTAAAAATAAAAATAAAAATAAAAAAATCATCTGCTAAAAGAGAAAAAATATTGAAAAGTACAACGATGCAGAAATCATACAAAAGAATGTGGAGTAATAAAGGAGATAAGTTTATGGGCACATTTAAATATTATTTTAATTTGATTGATAAATAATAAATGTTAGGAGTTAAAATTGTGTAGCTATTTTTGTAAAGTAGTTTTTACTTCTCCATATAAGAATTTTTTTTTTTTTTTTTTAAAAGGGATGACACGTGGCAGAATGGTTAATGCAATATGGTGCATTTGGAGCAAAATTTTTTTAATGAGAAGTTGCCACATCAACCTCCTGTATTCTGTTTTAATAAGGTACTAGATGCTTGGCCCAGGCAGATGCCTGGGCGCCCCTCTACTTTAAATTTGTGTTAATAGATAAATAAATTTTTGATTTGGAAAAAATAAAATAGCTACACATTTGGTTTTTTTTTCCTTTTTTTAGTCAAAAATAAAAATAAAAATAAAAAATCATCTGCCAAAGTAAAAAAATATTAAAAAATACAACGATATAGAAATCATACAAAAGAATGTGGAGTAATAAAGGGGATAAGTTTATGGACAAATTTAAATGCTATTTTAATTTGATTGATAAATGATAAATGTTAGGAGTTAAAATTGTGTAGTTATTTTTGTAAAGTAGCTTTATTTCTCGGGATAAGATTTTTTTTTCTTTTAAAAAGGGGATAACACGTGACAGAATGGTCAATGCAATATGGTGTATTTGGAGCCAAAAAATTTTAATAAGAAGTTGCCACATCAACATCCTGTATTCTGCTTTAATAGGGTAAAAGGGATATATATATCTATAAAAGGGATCAGTTATTTATGAGTTATGACAAATATTGGGTTTTATTATGGAAATTTATCTTAAATGAAAATGCCTTCCAAACTAGCCAGTAACCGCCTAATGACGAAATTTTGAATTTTGAAATTTCGGATTGACTTGGAGCCCACGTGTGCCGAAATTTTAGAGGAATTTCATTTCATTTTCATTTCAAATTTCATTTCCTTCTATACATCCCGCCCAAAGTTTCAGTCCAAAATTTTGCCCTTTAGCCTCTCTCATCGAGCTCTCTATAGAATAGAAAAAAATAAAACAAAAAGAAAAGAAGAAAATGAGCAGAAATTCCTAAAATCTCAGAGCAAATCAATATCACCACCATCGATCCAAATCTTGAAGAACCCACTCGCTTAACTGTTGAATAATCTTGAGGTAAACAAAAAAAAACCCATGAAATGGTTTGCTAATTTATTACATTTTTCTTCCTTTGTGGATTTTTCCGATTGTAATTCTTGAATCTGGCAACCAGTTTCTGTTTGGCCAGGAAAAAAAGGTTTCTTCTTTCTCCACTATTACTGATGAAACTGCATTTTAGTTTAGTTCAAGTTTTTCTCGATTGTAATCCGTTTTCTTGATATGGGTTTGTACAGATTGTTCCCACAGTCAAAAGGGTTGATTGATTCTGATGGAATAATGGCTGTTTCTTACTTCATTTTACGATTCTTGAAAATTTCAGGTTCTGAAGACATGCCGGAAGGAAGGGACAGACTATCAAGGGCGGTGGATTTGGCGGAAGTTTACGCTCGTAGACGACGGTCAATCTTATCAGGCATAAATGGGCGGCGTGATACCCTCACCGGTTTAGCTGACGACCCGGAAGAAGTGGGTCCAACCACGCCATTTCGCTGGGGAGCAACGCCGTTGACGGGTGGCCGGGGTGGGATTGGATCGGTTGATGGCGGTGGAAGTGGTGGGTTTGAGTTTAGTAGTCCGGGAACACCAGGAATCCGGCCGCGCAGCAGGTTGCAGAGATCCCCTGGGACAATTACTGGCCGGCAGAATATATCTCCGGCGACCAGAAGTAGCCGAGGCCGAGTAAGAGGTCGAGGCAGGGGTCGTGGTGGCGGTGTTTTGCCTGACTGGTATCCCCGGGTGCCCCTTCAAGACATCACTGAAATCGTTAGGGTAATCATTCTTCCTTTCTTTAAGAATTTTTTTTTTCTTGATTCTAATCAATGTTAGTCCTTCTTTTTTCTTATTCTTGGGGGCTGCCACATTGTTCTTGATTCGTTATAATCAATTTAGAAGTCTAGAAATGTGGTATTCTATAATTTGCTGCCCTTATCAATCCCTGAAGTTATTGGTCTTTGAAATTGATTCTTTGCGAGAGAAAATCAATTAGAACAGTTGTTATGTTGTCTGTAATATTCAATTCTGTAGCCATCTCAAGATTTTTGGAGCAAGCATCTTTATTGCAATATAATAGGTTTATCTGTACTGATTGATCATGTTCTGTTTCTTTTTCGTTGGGAAGAATGTTCTTTTATTGTCTTTTAAGACCATGTAATCTTCCTTACGTGATGTTTGGATTGGAACATTTTGTACTACGATGAAACAAAGTTGATGTTATCTTGTATCCATATATTGTGATGGGTTTCTTTTCAAAACTGGTATGCAATTTATATTATCTCTACTCAGCTGAGGGTAGGTGCCCCATTAGCATCTGCAGATATAGCAGTTATCTTCCCTTTTCTGTAAGAACACATTTCTTTTGGCTAATGTCATTTGTATTAACTGAAGTCCAGAACCTGTTTATTAGAGTACTTTGCATTGGTAGTTTCAAATTTGTTTCCTTCTGAGGGCATCATGAATATGTTTTTGAGTAAATGGTTTATGCCAACAATGAAAGTGCATTTGCTGATGGTTAGAGCTTAATCGTTCTGGTGAGTCACTGAAGGTATTAGATCTTTTTCATTCTGGGTAAACATGCTTTTTGATCTCTGTGTTTTGCCTTCTATAAATCAGTCTTTAGACCTGTTTTGTTGCTCTTTCGGAAAGCATAGTGATACCCTGAGGAGTTCCATTAAGTTTTAACTTACCCTGATTGTACAGGCCATTGAAAGAAGAAGAGCTCGAATGAGGGAAGGTGAGGGCCCTCAAATTGAGACTCCTGTACCTCAGCAACAGGCTGTTCAAGATGTTACAGTGTCAACATCAGGTGCTCAGTTCGAGCATGGTACTTCCACTTTTACTCCATATAATAAAGGGAGTAGCAAGAGCCTTTCCATATCAGTGCCAAAGATATTGCTTGATATCACTAACCAGAATGATGGAGAGTCATCTGGTCTCACACCACAGAAGAAACTACTGAACTCCATCGATACAGTTGAAAAAGTGGTGTCAGAGGAATTGAGAAAAATGAAGAGGACTCCTGCTGCGAAGAAGGCAGAGAGGGAGAAAAAAGTGAAGACCTTGATGTCAATGCGCTGATACAAAGACCTGTTGTGGAGTACTCAATCAAGGTTGAGGCAACTAGTTTGGATATTGAACTCAATCAAGGTTGAGAGATAGAAGATACAAGAGTGGATTTTTACCTCAATCAAGGTTGAGAATGAAAACTGAAGAAGTTCTAACTCAATCATTGTTGAGGATGTGAATTGGAGTATTATATAGCAAGGGCAGAATAATACCACTGACCTGTTTTGCATGACTGAAAATTAAGTTCACTTGAATTAGCTTAGTGAACTGTTTCTTGTTTGCTGTATTCTTTATTTGGTCCTTCTTTCTCACCATCTTCTATGATATGGCTGTTAGGGTAGTTAGAACTAGGTTCAGGCTTTGTTTTCTGTAAATCTCATGGTGTTAGATCTGACCACTTATGGTCCTGTTTCATAGTATGTTGCAGCAGTAATGGTCAGTAAGGAAACTATTGTGCTGATGTTCATAGTAGGAAGCTGGTGACAACTGATTGAAGTGCTTAGCTTTTTAATAACTTCCAGTACACTTAGATAAAAGAATGAGTATAATAAAAATTTCATTTTCAGTATGTATGATCATTGTTCTATCTTAGATTTTGATGCATAACTCCATAGAATGCCATTTTGCTTTATTAATTCAATCAGATTTCCAAAGTGATTTTCAGACAACGTGTAGCAATTTGCCAGTAATATGATAGGTACTTACAAGGTTAAATCAGGACACCCAAGATATTTCCTCCAAGGAAGCTTTAACTAAAGAGGAAGATGTGGATTTAAAAGAATATAAAATTTTGATAAACCTATTAGAATTATAGTATGATGTGATGGTTTTCTTCGAACTATATTTTCTATGCTAAACAATCAGTTGGTTGCGAGTGGCTTTTCTAGTCCTAGCATCCCTTTCTGCAGTCCTTTTGTACATATGGATTTAGAATTAAAGAAAACATCAATTCTCCTGCCTCAAAATGTCCATTTATCCAGTCCCTGAGAGCATCTTGAGAAAGCTCTTTGGGAATCAAAACATAGTTCCAGCCCTTGTCATGTTATGCATCAGTTAAACGGCGTAATACTGTTCACAAGTTCTTCCTGATTATGATAGAATCTTACAGAAAGCAATTAAGCATTGTTATAGGTTAAGAGCGCATTATAAATAAACGATACTAAAGCTTCCCGGAACCATTCATCCGATAAGAAAAATTCAATTAGCTACATTTTTCTTGATCTTAAGAAGACTTAGCTAGTTATGACTGAACTTCAAGAGTACATAATCTTCTTCTTCATTTGGGTAGCTTCCACAGTTGTGATACGAAAATGTATTCGGAATGGAACTGCTAACCTTCCCCCAGGTCCATTAACAGTTCCAATTATTGGTCATCTTCATCTCCTCTCCCCTGCACCTCACAAAGCTCTGCATAAACTGTCACAAAAATATGGACCCTTAATCAAAGTGTACTTTGGTTCCATTCGTTGTGTAGTTGCATCATCACCTGATGTAGCAAAAGAGTTCCTCAAAACTCACGAACTTTCCTTCTCGAACCGCCCTCAAATAGCTGCCATCAGTTACTTAACATACGGCTCGCAAGACTTTGCTTTCGCGCCTTATGGACCATACTGGAGATTCATGAAAAAACTCTGCATTTCTCAGCTTCTTGGTGGTCAAACACTGGAACGGATGTTTCCTATTAGGCGTTCAGAGGTAAGGAACCTGGTAGAATTGTTCGCAACTTATGCAAAAGCCGGGAAGGCGATTGACATTCGAGGAGAGCTGATGAGGACAACCAATAATGTGATATCAGGAATGGTTATGAGCAAGAGATGCTCAGGAAATGACTATGAAGCCATGGAAGTTAGGAAATTGATTAAAGAGGCTTCCGAGCTTTGTGGGCAATTCAATCTTTCTGATCTTTTTTGGTTTTGTAAGAACTTGGATTTGCAGGGATTAGGCAAGAGGCTCAAGAAAGTTCGTGACAAGTATGATGAAATGATGAATCAGATCCTAATAGACCACAAGGAGCAAAAAAAAGGTAACAGATCAGAGAAGGACCTTCTTGATATTTTACTCGAAATTGCAGAAGATGAAAGTGCTGAATTCAAGCTCACAGAAGACAACATCAAGGCTTTTATCTTGGTAATTAACATGAAGTTTTGCACTTTTTTAGATTATTAACATGAAAAAAAAAAATGATGAGTTATGTTTTGAAAATTTCAGGATGTTTTCACTGGAGGATCAGATACATCAGCTATAGCAGTAGAATGGGCAATGGCAGAGCTAATAAACCATCCAGAATCACTCCAGAAAGCGGTGCAAGAAATCGACTTAGTCATTGGAAAAAATCGAGTTGTAGAAGAATCAGACATACCTAATCTTCCTTATCTCCAAGCTGTTGTGAAAGAAACTCTAAGAGTTCATCCACCTGGAGGACCATTTATCTTAAGAGAGTCTAGTGAAGATTGCACCATTGAAGGTTACCATATTCCAGCAAAAACCCGAGTTTTGGTTCACGTTTGGGCTATTAACAGGGATCCAAATGACTGGGAAAACCCTCTTGAGTTTACACCAGAAAGGTTCTTAACAGAGGAGGGAACACTGAAAGGGCAATTGGATGTCAGGGGACAGTATTTTCAGTTCTTGCCATTTGGTAGCGGCCGAAGAGGTTGCCCTGGAATTTCACTGGCAATGCAAATGGTTCAAATAAGCCTCGCGGCGATGATTCAGTGTTTTGAATGGAAAGTTGAGGGAAATGGAAAGATTGAAATGGAAGAAGGAAATGGTGCAACTCTTCCTATGGCTCAGCCATTGGTTTGTTTCCCAGTTGTAAGGCTCAATCCACTCCCACTCTAACTTGAGAGCCAAAAATTTAAGAAACTTTATGTTGAAAATTAGTTCGGTATACCTTTCTCTGCCTTTGGGCTAATTATGTTGCTATCACAATATCATCATTGTTATGTAACCGATCGAAATGCAAACGATACTCAAGATTAAACACGAGATATTATTCCCTTTGTACTAAAAAATACACCAAATATGACCATTCTGAGATTACAGTTTTTTCCCCCCTAGTGAGTCCGCCCCTGGACCCGATTAAGTCAATTGATGGTCTTGACTAATTTAATCTGAGGTTAAATTATACAAAAGAATCTTTTATTAACTAAGTCATAGTGTCTAACTACCAGGTTGAAGAAATTTTTTTTAGGGTTATTTGGGTCAAATACAACAGAACTTCTATAATAAAATTAATAGTGTTGGTACCACCAAGATCTATCGACTGAAGCAGGAAGTTCAATGGATATTAATGCATATTCAAGAATGGTAGTGGTGGTGATGTAAGGTTTTTGGAAAGTTTAAGTTTTTAGATTGGCTGAAACTGTAAATACATATAAATAACTTGTTGTTGAAGCGATGAAAATTTACAGTTTACTAAAAAATAATCCAAATCTTGTAAGTATTGAAACTCTTCTCATACCACAATCCATATATAATTTTTATCATCAGCAGTGAGTAAAAAAATAAAATAGTTCATATTTTACTAAATTGTTTTATTTAATATTATTATTTTTTAATTTAAATAAATTATTAATTTAACGTATTGTCGGGACCAAAAGACGTATAAGAGATTTTTTGAAATATTATTATCTTATTATTATTTTATTAATTTTTCTTACTTTTTGTACTGGATCCAAGTTGGGACGGAAAAAGTTATTAATTACTCAAAATTATTAATTTATCTATTATTAATTCAGCGACATTCTACTCTATCGAAATTACATGAAATTGGGGTGTTTGGTTTATTCATGGGTTCACATGGACTTAGGTTTTGATTCAAAACCCGACCCCTTTGGTGGGATTAGAAAATTCTTAAATACTCCTTCCGTCAAAAAAAAAAAAAACTTAACTTTGAGTTTTGGAATTTGTACTAAAAACGGTACAAATCTAAAAACTCAATGTGGACTGTTTTTTTTGGCACGAAAGTAGTAATTTATTGAATATCAATCCATTCATGTCTATTCAAAACCCGTCAACCAAACACCAGTAGTTAAAATTATTCCATTTCCTCATTGCAAAACCCACCAAGTAAAGTTAGGACTGACAAGAGGAAATCCCAAATTTGTTTATTCCAAAACAAAAGTAAAAAATAAAGGACAAAATAGGTGTGGGTGGCTAAGTTTTGGGACCTTTGGTGTCATTTACTCAAAAGAGATCTGTTTGCGAGGGGCGCTACTGCATTTATATCATAGTCCAGCCATGAACTTACACATAATGGGCAAAATAGTAACGATATGTTTGTTATTCCCTCCATTAAATAATTCGTTACAGAATTCACTTCTCTATAAATGTGTTCTAGCCCAACCTCCCAATTCTCCAGTCAACAAATCACTGATGCTGTGCTAAAATTCTATATTTCAAACAAGTGAAAGAAACAATCGTTTTAGCTGAAACGGCAAGCAAATTACGTAAAATACTAAGGAGAATATAACGCCGGACTAGCGCAAATTGGCTTTTAATATTTAGCGTATTGACTACTGGGATTCTCCTCAAAATTCCTACACTAAATGGTCATCATGTTTTGTCCTTATACTCTCGTATGCTTTGTCAAATCCAACACACATAAACCAAAATGTTTATTAAGAAGGCCGAAGATACAAATCACTTAAGGTTAAAAAAACGTAAGATTGTTGTGTATTTTGAAGTCTTCAGTTTAACAGAACATAGGCTCTCATTATTGACTTGGCCCTCTTGAAAGAAAAAGCTACAAGGACAGGTGAAAATGTCCTCCACATAATCATCCCAACTTCCAATGAATCCTACTTGGATTTCCTTCTGAAGATATGGTTTCTTACACATACATTTCTTGTGCAAGATTTGGAGTCTTGAATCTTGTAAATGGATAAATACAATTTTTAGAACCTTTTATTTTTCAAACGAATCTTAGTGAAATAGAAGGGCCGCGGGGATATCATATCAAACATGATATGATATGTGCTTTACTTACGAAACCCCAGTGTGAGGAGAAGAAACAATAAAGAGTTGTTTACCAACTTGCAATATACTTTATCCGTCCTAGAAAAATAGTCGACTTCATTAACAAAATAATAGTGGACTTTATTAAATTGAAACAGTACAACAAAGTAGACCTGTCTTTATGTGATGATGGGATCATTACTCTATATAAATTTCAATCAACCACACTATTGTGTAATTCCATCACCCCTTTGATAATGGCTGATATCTTCATATCCAACATTCTTCTCTTCCTCATTTGCCTACTCCCAACCATCCTCTTCAAGTTAATCCTCAGAAATCGTTCTCGTTCCCGTTCTCGCCTTCCTCCGAGCCCTTTAGCCTTACCAATCATAGGCCACCTCCATCTCTTAGCTCCAATTCCCCACCAAGCTCTTCACAAACTCTCCAAACGATATGGACCTTTGATGCATTTACGCCTCGGGTCAGTTCCTTGTGTCGTCGCTTCCTCACCAGAAACCGCAAAAGAATTCCTCAAAACCCACGAAAATTCTTATTCAAACCGGCCCCAATCAGCAGTCGTCGATTACATAACATATGGATCGATGGACTTCTCGTTTGCCCCGTATGGACCTTACTGGAAGTTCATGAAAAAAGTTTGTATGTCTGAGCTCCTGGGGGGCAAGACATTAGACCTTTTGCTTCCTGTTAGACGGGATGAAATTGCACGACTTATGGATCTTTTATCGCGAAAGGCTAACGCTAGTGAGGCGATTGATGTTGGTGCTGAGCTAATTAGGTTGACTAACAACATCATATCGAGAATTATGATGAGCAAAAGATGTTGTGAAGATGATAATGAGGCAGGAGATATAAGTAGAACGATTAAGGAAGTTGCGGAGATTACAGGGAAATTTAATGTTTCGGATTTTATTTGGTTTTGCAAGAACTTGGATTTGCAGGGATTTAAGAAGAGGAGTAAAATTGTGAGAGATGGATTTGATGCCATGATTGAGAAGATCATTGGGGAACATGAACAGGAAAGGATGAAGAACAAGGAAAATAATAAAGTTGAAGTGAAGGATCTGCTTGATATATTGCTGGATATATCTGAAGATGAAAACGCACAAATCAAGCTATCAAGAGAAAACATCAAGGCTTTCATCCTGGTAAGGTTAAATCATGTGTTTTATTTTCGTTCTGTTTTACTTTTTTTTTTTTTTTGGGTTTTAAACTTTTGATTAAGATGACCATTTTAATTACGTTCTTGTTGATTCTATATCATGCCTTCAAGGGTATACTATGCATTCAACTAGTATAACCAGCTGTTTAAAATTGGATAATATCGGTAGTAGTTGAGATGATCACTTATCGTATGTTTTATTTAGAAATTTTAAATTTTGGATCCTTAGAAAAAAAAAAAAAAACAAAACCATAAAGGGGAGTTTTGCGAAAGAATTCCGCGACCCTCTAGTTTGGTCTCCATAATGATCCACTTCAGTTTGATCCTGGTTTCACTTTTAGAGAGTGGACTATTAAATTGAGATAAAAAAAAACTACAACAACTGTAATCACCTGTCCAAATCTTATTTTCACTGTAAAATGTGAAAATCTTAGTTCCAACTTCGAACCTTCTAGCACGTTAAATGATTTTTCAAAGAGTACTTAGAAAGATTGCCATAAAACTTACTCCGCCTAAATGTGTATCAATGTCATCGTTCAATCATTAGCCTTCCTACGTACTTAGCTATAATGAAATGAAACTCCAACAAGATTTTTAAAGGCAATAAATTAAAAACTTATGGCCTGCAGAATAAATTAAGCACATTGCATCATCATCCTTCATCCCTACAGCCGGAGACACAGAAAGTTAATCTATAGATAACTAAGTACTTGGTAGAAATTAGAGCTGTAAGCTATATTTTTATATCGATTTGTTGATATTATAAAATTGTATTACAGAAAAAAAGAATAAAGAAATACCTGTCTATCTACATTTCCGTCAGAATTCCAGATCTGACCAGTTCTAATTTGTTCATTCTTTTTTTATTAAACTCAAGACTAAACTATGCATTTTACTTGCGGAAAAACATATCATATATACACTATTGTGCTTACCTAAACCTAGAATATCCTTCGTCTTGAATCTATATAAGACAAATTGCCACCTGACAAAAATTGACCTGACATCATTCGCACACAATCAAGTTAACATTTTAAATCATGGAAAAAAGGATTGTTTTCAAATGTGGAGGATGAAAAAGAGATTTCCAACCAAATAATGATTTACTCATAATTCTAACAAAATGGGACAGATATTTCTTCAGAGCATTGATATGCAATCTCTTCTCTAACAAAAATTTCACCAGTAAGATCTTAATATTAGCTGAATATATCAAAGTGAATTGTTAAATGCAACTTGATTTTACTTCCCGCAGCTTGTGCAATAGACTAAAATACCCCTGAACCTTAAACTCTCCCAAATTCGATCATTTTTTTAGAACTTCTCACAAGTTCTTCTATTATATTGTCAAAAAATATTGATTCTTGATGGTTCACAATTGGAGAAAATCAAATAACACGAAAAAACAAGATAAAATAAGACATTAGCTTCTCAACATATAATTTTTTTGCGAAGTTCACTTTCTTATTGGTGTGATCACCATTGTCATTTTCTGACGGATTTTTGTTTTTACAAGGAGAAATAATTTACGCGAAATTTTATGGCTTTGGCACGATTACTGATTGGTGATCGTGTTTTTTTTTGCTGACTAGTGATCGTGCTTTTTTTATGTCATTTATGTGTTTTGATTTTGTTTCCTGTAACTTGATTTTACTTTGTGCAGTTTGATTTTATTTCGTGTATCTTTATTTTACTTCGTGCAACTTAATTTTACTTTGTGCAGCTTCATAGGGACATTTTAGTCTATTTAATAAGCTGCACGAAGTAAATCCAAGCTGCGTTTAGCAACATCCTATATCAAATGGGCAATCAAATTCTGTTTCGCAGGATATATTTGCGGCGGGAACGGATACTTCAGCAATTACGATAGAATGGGCTCTATCGGAACTGATCAACCATCCCAAGATTATGAAAATTGCAATGCAAGAAATCGATTCGGTAGTTGGAAACAACAGATTAGTGGAAGAATCGGATATCGCTAACCTTCCATACCTACAAGCCATAGTAAAAGAAACGCTAAGACTTCATCCAACGGGACCAATAATCCTAAGAGAGTCAACGGAAGACTGTGAAATAGGAGGTTTCGTTATACCCGCGAAAACTCAACTTTTCGTCAATGTTTGGGCTATTGGCAGAGATCCGAATCATTGGGATGACCCACTCGAATTTCGACCCGAAAGATTTCTACATGAGGAGAAAAATGGGATAATTAACAGCCAGCTAGATGTTAGAGGCCAACATTTTCAATTCTTGCCGTTTGGTAGTGGAAGAAGAGGGTGCCCGGGGACTACATTGGCTTTACAAGTAGTCCAAGCTGGCCTTGCAGCTATGATTCAGTGTTTTGAATGGAAAATCAGTGGTGGGGAAAATGGTAAAGTGGACATGAAAGAAGGAACTGGAATTACACTGCCTAGGGCTCATCCTTTGGTTTGTTTTCCTGTGGCTAGAAACAATCCACTTCCGCAATCCAAGTTCATTTAGGTATCAGAATGCGCACGCCTGGAGTCTACTCGCGCCAGTTTGTCATTACTTTCTCCCCAAAAATTAATCTCTATGTGAAAGTATAGTTTCAGTGTCTCATGTAATCCACAACTAGGGTTTCTTCTTCTTCTTCTTCTTCTTCTTCTCTCTCTCTCTTATCGTTTCAATGAGAAATACCTAAATTAAAGTGGCAAGTTGGTGAAGTGGCACCTTCGCCCTAGTTTATTGACATTGTTTGCGCATAGAGATTGATATTTCCTCATTAGATGTGATTTTTCTTCATTCAAAAATCTCTGCCATTAGATCTTTCCTCGTGCTAATTTGTAACTACAGTATTTAGTTTATGATAAAGTGTTATATTTTTACGGTTTGACTTAAGTTATATGTTTAGCTTTTTAAATTCAGAATAAGTGGAAAAGCACCATTAATATTTTTTCAAATTAAGTGCTTGAATCATCCCTAATGGCAATGGTGCTAGTTGGTATATGCTATCATTTCGAAATGACTGCTTAGTTTTCATTTTCATTTTAAATATAATTTGTATTAAAAAAAGTGAAATTCTAAATCGAGCAATAATCATTTTGGAATATATGAAACATTTATTAGCCTTTAAATAATAGTGTGGGCATATGGTGGATACCAATCTTGATGACTAAATGAAATGGTAGTGCAGGATGTAAACTTATTAGTAGTAAAATGGTAATTGAGATTTTGCACCTTTTAAGATAAATATCCAACTCTGCAACCAAATGAGAATTGAGGCTTAGAGATTGATATTTCCTCATTAGATGTGATTTTTCTTCATTCAAAAATCTCTGCCATTAGATCTTTCCTCGTGCTAATTTGTAACTACAGTATTTAGTTTATGATAAAGTGTTATATTTTTACGGTTTGACTTAAGTTATATGTTTAGCTTTTTAAATTCAGAATAAGTGGAAAAGCACCATTAATATTTTTTCAAATTAAGTGCTTGAATCATCCCTAATGGCAATGGTGCTAGTTGGTATATGCTATCATTTCGAAATGACTGCTTAGTTTTCATTTTCATTTTAAATATAATTTGTATTAAAAAAAGTGAAATTCTAAATCGAGCAATAATCATTTTGGAATATATGAAACATTTATTAGCCTTTAAATAATAGTGTGGGCATATGGTGGATACCAATCTTGATGACTAAATGAAATGGTAGTGCAGGATGTAAACTTATTAGTAGTAAAATGGTAATTGAGATTTTGCACCTTTTAAGATAAATATCCAACTCTGCAACCAAATGAGAATTGAGGCTTAAGAAGGTCTAGTCTTTCCCCTGTAGCCCATTTCTCTCTTTTTCATAGGCCACCATTAGCTTTGCACAGAACCTATTTTTCCGCCCCCATAAGTAATTGAGAGCAACAATACGGGGATCCCAAAAATTCCCTCCGGATGGATTCCATATATATACTCGATTCTTTTGTCGTTGTTATTATTATTATTATTATTATTATTATTATTATTTTTTTTTTGGGGTGTCGATAACTCTTAATTGCACTGATTCTCCATTGTTTCTAAGAAAATTCACTTTTAGATCTTGTGTGCTATTTATTGTAAAACTAGTACTACCAAATCTTGTTACTTGTTTCGTAGTTAAGATTTGTTTAAACTTGTTAGTTTTGTTTAAGAATAAAAAATTTCGGTTTCAAATTTTTAAATTACAGGGCCACATGGAAATTTTATAAATCATAAAATTATTTTTTTTTTCTCCTAATGCATATACAGGCGCAATGCAATTATTATGTGTTATATGGCACCTTTTGATTTAATTTATGATTCTGGTTCTTTTGTGCAAGACTTCTTGATATAATGACCGGAAATTGAACATAATGCATTGTTGAGTGGGATGAAATAGAAGAGGATGTGCGGAAGAAGAAGCATGCAATATATTTTTCGGAAAATATTCCTAGACAATTATACAATTATGTAATTTGACAGTATTAAGTTTCATTTACTGGCAGGAGGTGTTGAACTTCCTTAAGGTTGGATTTGAACCACAATTTTTAAGTAGTAGTCAGACCAGGAGAATTGTAACAAAGCCATTTAGAGATATTATATTGTTTAAATGTAGTTCAGTTTTTTGATTTAACGTATGAATCTAGAAATACTTTTTTAGACATACAAGTTATGTTTCAGCTTCTAATATATTGTTCCTATTTTTATAATTTTTTTTTAATTCTTGATTTCTAAACTTTTGCAACAATCTGGAATTGAAAATAAAATAAATAAATAATATTTAGTTTTATATAGTGAACGGGAAAGAAACCAACCCCAACGAGTAAATTAGATGAGTCAAATGTTTGGATTTTTTTTTTTGGATAGATCTACTTAAATGGCACTTATATATGTCATTAGAAAGATTCTATTTAAGGCCCTTTCAATTGTCATATTATTTACCATGTGAAGGAATTTTTATATTCAAATTTCATATTCTATATGGTCCAAAAAAAAAAAAACACACTGAGTTTTGGAATTTATATTAAAAATATTAAAAAATTTAAAATTTAATGTGGACTATTTTTCTTTGGGACAAAAGTATTAGAAGATGATCGATCTATTGTCACATAGAATTTAGAGGTACTTCACAAGTGCGGTGAAAAACTTAAATGTAGTGTTGGACTATAATACAAGGCATTCGTTAGTTCCTAAGTAAACCATTTTCCTAGCAGCGTAAATTTCCAAAAGAAGAAAGCTAAAACATCGCAGTTTGTTATAACAAACTTACGTGTGCCGACCCTGAACAAAACATAACCCAATTAGTATATCGAAGAGATTTATATAACCGGCTACTCAATCATCATTATATATAATATAGCTAGCTAGGTATATTCATAAACAAATCCTAAAGTGCTTCTTTTGGTTACATTTTGTTGATATCGTTGGGTCTCGCCTGAATCAACTTTTTCTAAGTTTTTTTCAAATATCAAGATAATGGAGGAGGATGTTGGTTTTCGATTCCGACCAACTCAACAAGAGCTTCTGTGGCTTCTTGAGCGTAAGGCTTGTGGCGAAGCAATATCAAAGTACACAAGCACCGTTCTTGAGAAGGAGTTGTACGGACCTGAGGCTAGCAAGGAGCCATGGAACGTTTTCTCCGACGTTCCGGATCAGATGTGGGAGCTCTACGATGAATGCGCCGGTAAGAACAGCCATGCGAGAAGGGTTGTTTACGTTGTAACGAAATTGTCGCAGATGAGTGAGAAGAAGATCAGTAGATCGGCCGGTCGCGGAACTTGGAACGGGGAGACAACCAACAAGCCGGTCATGGACTTACAAGGTGGTGGCAAAATCATAGGATATCATAAACAGTTGACTTACACGGTGAAATCCGAGGCGGCGTGCCAAGGATCTTGGTACATGCACGAGTATTCGCTGTCGGAGCAAGTTTTGAAAGGACCAGAGATTCAAAGTGCTGATTATGTCATCTGTCGTGTGGTTAAAGATGAATCGAAAGATTGTAAGATAAAGGATACTACTTGTTCAACAAGTAATAAGATGGGTGGTCGGAAGCGCAAGGGTAGTTGTGGAGATGTGATGAATCATAATCAAGATGATTCTTCATCGGGAGAAGTCATGGGATCAGCTGGATTCCCTCAGCAAGAAAGCAGGTCGTATTCAAGTTACAATCAAGCTCCTGATCCCCAAGTAGTTTATCAGCCGGAAGAAGGAGTTCCGTTGCAAAATAATTGTTATTATAACATTCCCAACAATAGTACTACGGTTGATGAAAGCATGTGGTTATATTCGGGTTATAATCAAGGTGCTGATCCGCAAGTAGTTGATCATCAGCTGGAAGAAGGAGGTCAACAACCATGGAGTGGAACTATAAGTAGCTGTAATATTACTTGTGCAGGTGCGCCACCGCCATTGATCGATGACATTAATCAAGGGACTTATTCTTATTCTCAAGAAGAAATTGATGTCAACTCATATTTAGCTCCGGGGGATGCTACTGGAATGATGCCAGCGTTAGTTGATAGCAATAACTTATTCCAGTGCTATAGTTGAAGACGGATGAGGTTCGATGAGCAACAAGAAAGATTGGTAATTAATATGTAGTATACCTAGAATTTGGAAAATTTTTATTCAATGAGGGATACCTAAATTAAGTGGCAGGTTGGTAAAGTGCAACCTTGGACCTAGTTTGTTGATATATAGTTTGCGAGATAGAGATTGATTTATCCTCATTAGATTTGATTTTTCTTCATTAAAAAATCTCTGCCATTAGAGTTTCACTTGTGACTACAGTATTTAGTTTATGATAAAGTGTTAGTTTACGGTCTGACTTCATTCGCTTTTTAAATATTAAGTTCTTGAATCACTTTTAATAACAACTATACTAAAAACAGATCAGAAATCGAAACTGGACAATTATGTTTGAACGCGGAGTATAGTCAAATAGTAGTGTGGGCGTGTGATGGAAACCAAATGGTAGTGTAAGATATTAACTTAGTAATAAAACGATAATTGAATTTTGCACCAATTTGACAAAATATCAACCTCCGCGACCTAAAGAGAATGGAGGTTTAAGAAAGTCCAGTTTTATGAACTCGGGGAGGAGCAGTTGGAGGAGTGAGTCCAGTTCATTATTGCTTGCCGTGAAGTCCATGCTGATTTCATCCACACATTAGATACGGATAAAGAATCTAATCCACACATTAAAACAAAAACACAAACAGAGTGGAAAGGAAGCTGGGAAAATGCTAATGAAGAGTAAGTACTAACATGAACAACGTGGGGATGATAACTATAGGTTGGGGTTGGAACTCCGGAAGCGCCGAACAAGCGGGGCTGCGGTTGTTTAGAGATGTTCGTGAAGGCGGTCGGCCATTTCAAGAGCAACCTCAATCGGAACTTGAATCGCACCAGCAGCTGGTTGATTCAATGATCGTTGATCCAAAAGACGAGGATCATATGGATTGATTGATCTGTAATCCATGGATTAATATTGTATTTTTTGTTTGATTGATTTTTGTTGAAGAAGGTTATATTACACAAACGCAAATATCAGCGTCGTCGCCCCCAAACCATATGATGATATAACTCTTTAACATTTGGAAATTTTAATTTCAAAAAATGGAATTAATTGATTAAAAAATAATAATAATACCATTAAAAACCGAAAACAGGATACAAAACAATGTATTTTGTTTTTTATTTGTCGACTTCTCTGTCGAGTTTAATGATAAGACAAAAACGTAGACAACAATAATTTTCATATGAAAAAATCTATATTGTGTCTTGAATAAGCCATTTTTTTTAATTAGTATCAAGGCCAGTGATATTGCCAATACAACTTTTAGCCTCCACAACAAAATTCACCATTCTTTCCAAAATTATCCTTACAAAATCAAACTCAATTATTTGCTCTCCCTAATCTCTATAGCTTAATTAATCCTTTTTCGGTTTCTTCATAACGAGCTCTCTCTACCCTATCATCATTGCTTCTGATTCGAGTGACAAATATCTCCTCTATTTGGCTACGGTGTTAATACTGATTTCTTTGCTCTCTGAAATGGCAGAATTTGGCTTTAGACTCCACTTTGGAGATTTACAAATCAATATGTTTCAAGGGTTTTAATTGGGCCTGCAATTTTGGGTGGCACTGGAGTTGCAAGGGAGACACGAATGATGGTTTCAGGGGATGCTAAAAGGACTTTGTGAGTTACTCCAGCATCAATGAATAAATGAGTTGAGACGCGTTGTCAGAGAAAAGGATAAACGGGTTAAACTGACCAACATATATGAAAATTATGAATATCCAATAATCCCTAAAATTTGCAGAGAAATAGAATATAGGACGGTAATAAGAGGAAGCTATGAGCGAGAGAGATTGGAGAGGGTTCTGCACTTTTTGTATTTCATTTTTTCTAAAATTGCTTTTCGAATTATTTGATTGTTGTAAGCTTTGATTACTTTTGGGGTTCAATTCTGTATTAGTAATTTTTTCCGGTGCAGTGGTGTTTGTTTGTATTGTTGCTTTTGCTGGAAATGCAGCCTGCGCGATTATTAATTAGACAGAGAGGTAAAGGAGGAACAAAGAAAAGAAGAGAGTGTTTAGAGTTTGTAGGGGCTATTTTGGAAACAATGATGAATTTTGCTCTGGAGGCTAAAAATTACACTGGTAATATCGATAACCTAGTATCAATGTAAAAGTCACAAATTGTGAATTATTTTTGAAGTTTTCTTAAAAAAATACAATGTAAAAGTCATTAAAAAAAATGTGTTAGTTCCCTGAACCTCGGGACTAAATCGATCCCTAATTTTTCCGTAAAGGAATTTCAATGCAACCAAATTTACAATAGAATTTAGAAAATTTAATGGTTGAAGAATGAAAGAACAAGGCCAGGGAGAAAAAAAAAAAAATAGTATTGCATAATATTAGGTCTGCAATGAGTTTTAAGTCGTTCATGGAACGCCGACATGCTATTTAGTACTATATCTTGTTATGCAGACCCGTTGATATTTTCGCCATCTTTTCATTGCAAACAAACTCAGTCTCAGCTATAACTATATATTTCTTATGAAAAGTATTATGTAAAGAATCTATAACAACATTTAAAAGTTTTAATGTCGGAAATAAAATTTATTACTTACTAGAGCTTATACCTAAAAAAAAGTGTAACAATGATATTGTACAAGTGCAATGGGGTCTCATTTTCGTCGACTTCGCTAAGAGGATCCAAAAGTGGTGTCCTAGGTTTTCACAAAAATTAACATTTTGTGATGTTACATTTTAATACATAAATCAATAAATATTTTAGAGCAATTAAATATCCAACAAGAATTAGAAAACTCAATGTTACCTATTATTATAATAATTAACCCAAAAAGTACCATAACTTCGCCTACTAAATTCGTTCGCCACCATAAGTTCAAAAGTAACTTAAGTCCCATCAAAAGTTGAGTTTCTATCTTCTTTCACTTTTCCGTCCGTTCACCGTCCAAAAAGTAACAGAAGGCTGACTTTCATGTGCCTTTCTAGAAGGGGCAATTTTGTCATTTTGGTACTGTAGTGGGCAAACACTCGACCCGTTGACCTATTCTGACTGGACCATGGATTTTTACTATTAACGTGGGTTTTATTTTTGTTTACCAATTCACTATTTACTATTTACCTATTTTTCCTATATATTAACAAATCCCAATTCCCACCCTTCAAGAAACCCTAATTTCTATCGGGTCACCATCGCCACCATCTCTTCTCTTCCTCGATCGTAATCCACCACCCCAAACAGAAAAAAAAGAAAAAAAAATTGAAGACCGGGGAGAAATCGTGAGTGAAGCAGAAAGAAATTGTCAATGCCAGAAAGCAATCTTCTCTCCATCTTTTTTCGCCGGAAATCGGTTACCACTGAAAGTAGATCCGGCTGTCTATGGCAAATCACAGTGAAACAGTCTCTTCTTGGTCGATTTCAGAAGGGATGTGAAGACGAAATGTTGTAAATTGTGAATCATAAGATGGGATTGAGCATATTAGTCAAGCAAAAGAGTCAAGGATTAAGGAGATTGGGAAAGAATTTGTACCAGGGAAGTTCGAAATTGTTGGGAAGAAACCAAAGATTGAATGCTGCAAGTTCAAATCAAAATTGGATTCTATACTGTTTGGCCTAATTGCAGGGTTTATTGTTAATGTCATGGTTTTTCTCCTTGTGTTGGTCTTACTGTTGAAGAAATAAGTAGCTTTGGATGTAATTTTTTTTTTCTCCTTGTGTTGGTTCTGTAAGTTGTGTTGGTTCTGTGAGTCGTAAGTGATACCGAGAATTCCTCGTTGGAGAAGCTTTCAACTGTTAAACTGTCCAAGTGTTGATAAAATGTCTAAGTGTTAGTAAATTGGGCAGAAGGTGCTTGATAAAATTTCCAAGTTGTAGGTCGACCTTGAATCGGGTCAATATTTCAGCTGTTGATTAAATGACAAAATTGCCCCTTCCACAAAGGCACGTGCAAGTCATGCTTCTGTTGGCTATCTGACGTTAACATGACGGAAAAGTGACAGAAGACAGAAACTCAACCTCTGATGGGACTTAAGTTATTTTTGAACTTATGGTGGCGAACGAATATAGCAGGCGAAGTTATAATACTTTTTGGGTTAATTATTGTTTTTTACAAAAGGAATTTTTGATCTTGTCTTGTGTTTAACCAAATTGTGTAACTAGACAATCAATTACGAATTTCAATGCACTATATCAAGTTTAATTTGCTATATTTTTCAAAAGGATTATTGAATATCAACACGGTAAGTTACTTTATTACTTGTTATATTTAGAATATTTATCGTCTTTATAATGAAATCAAACACGATGTGATAAGTATGTTATTCCTATAACAACTCAAAGATTTAAAATTTTGTACGAATCTATATAACATATGGAAATTTTAGTCTCAAAAACTAAATTGATTGTAATTACTAAAAGACGATACCATAAAAAATATATGATACAAAATTGTGGATCCTTTTATTCGCCTACATTCTCGTCGAGTTAGCTAAATAGACAAAAAAGTCGACGGGAACAATTTTCTGAAAAAAGTTGATATTTTTGTGACTCTTACGTTGATCCTAGTAAATATAAACAATTTCAAAGTTACAAAATTTTAAATAAGAGAGGTCGGTGGCAAGGGATTTCCTAGTGGCATCCGTTTACACATTTCTTCCATCCCAATCCAATTTGAATTTTTATTTTCAATTTAAATTGTATTAAAACTGAAAATACAAATTAGACAATTATTTTGGGGCAGGGAAAGTATATGCACTGCGAATCCCTTTTACCCTATTAAAGTAGAAGCCATGAAGCTTATGTGGCAACTAAGTATGCATCTGTTTTGGCTCCAATGCACCATATTTCAGATTTCAGGAGTCTTTTTGCCACGTGTAAGTCTCTTTTAATTAGAAGTTATATAATTTTTTTTTTTTAAAAAAACACATGTTTTACTACAAATAAGGATCAGTTACATTTCAAACGAATGGATATATTAATTCAAATTCAAATGTCCAATCGTATAGTTTTGCAGGCTTAATATAAACAAAAAATAAAAATATCTAAATCCAACAATTAAGAATAATGCCTTATAAACTAATTATTTATTATTTTCTTATAACCTCAGATTTATAGGTATATTTTTTTAAGCCCCAAATCATAGCATAAATGATATATACGCCAAATTAATTCCTCAAAAAATAGTAATTCAATTAGATTTTAATAAAATAGTAATTTAAAAGGGGCGCCCGGGCATCTGCCTGGGCCAAACATCTAGTTAGAAATATACTACTACAAATTAAGTGGGGCCTTTGGCAAATAGCAACCGATTAATGCATGCATGAAAGTAAGAAACAGTCTAAGTATAAAATTAAATTCTCAAACAAGAAAATCGTTTTAGGACATAAAAAGTATAAAATTAAATCAATACTTTATTTCAACATTCCAATTAGTAATTTCTTTCTTCTATCTTGAAAAACAGTCTTTGTAATTTGTACTAGAAAACATTTAAATCAAAATTTTGCAATTTATACTATTTTTCTGATATAGTGAGAGATACTCCCTCCGTTCCAAAATGATTATCCAGTTTAAAAATTTACAGTTTTAGTACAAATGAAAATCAAAATTGGATAATTATTTTAGGACGAAAAATAGTATTTTTTTCATATACACAATGTTAAATTTGGATAGTTCACTTCCCACTTTTCATATACAATACCCATGATCAACCATCCTAGCTAACATAATGAATAAAAAAATAGATGAAATTGATTTGGTGGTTGGGAAAGACAAAGCTCGCGGAAGAATAAGATAACATCAATTTTCCTTACCAAAGAGTCATGAAAATGAAATGCTGAGCTTTCATTCAACGAGACCAAGAATTTTAATAGAGTCGACAGTAAATTATGAAAAAAGACTTTATATTGAAAATTCTAACTTTTCGTCATTGTATGGACGATGGAACTGATTATTGGGATAATCCGCTTATTAAATTTCAGCCAGACTGATTTTTACATGAGGAAGAGAATGGGATAATCAACAGCCAAGTTAGATGTTAATGTTTTCATTTCTTGCCGTTTGGTAGTAGGAGAAGAGGCTTCGCAGCTATCATTCTTTGAATTTGAGTGGAAAATCAATTAAAAAAAAAGGGACATTGACTTTTAGTAAACGCTAACAGTGGCAAGTTTCTTGTACTCCCTCCGTCTCATAATTATTGTTCACTTTGCCCAAAAAATTTTGTCCTAAAATTATTGTCCAATTTGACTTTTTATGGATCAAGTTGCATATTTGTCCTTAGTAAAAAACATTATCCATAAAATTTTAGTGGTTAAACAATTACTTATATAGGGGTATATCCGGTTATTTAAGGTAAAATATAATTAAGTTTGACTAAAAATAAAATTTTTTATTTTAATAAAACTGGACAATAATTATAGGACGAAGGGAGTATTTGATTTTCAGCAACTTTAATTATAATTTTTTTCCAATAAAAATAAAAATAAAAAACATAATAGCTACCAGCAGAGTAATTTTAATTTGTATAATTTGTTTAGGCAGCTTGTATTCCTTGGTGCCGGTTTGGTAATCATCATCGATGAAAATCATATATATTTTCTTAATAAAATCAATATCATTTTGAATACATAAATCTATTAATCTAAATCTTCTTCTTTCCCCTTTCACACCAGTATCATTTCGCAACGTATCTCTCCTTCAAATTTCTTTTTCCTGAATTTATGATAATTAAATTGGTCAAATTCCTTAAGGGTGTAACACTAACACCATGTCACAAATTCAATCCTCATTAGAGGTTAAAAAATATTCGATAGTTGACTACTTGACTTATCTTATGCAGTCTGCCTAAATTTATCTATGTCTCTATCCAGTCCTTATTATAAGTTATTTTGATTTGTCTGATATTTCATTTAGTATATTCTTTTAATTGAAAATAAGAATTTAAAAATTATTGTATTTTCCAATTCATTATAATATATTTTTAAAATTTTATTTGAAAGAACACACTACTAAATAAAACTTATGATAAATCAAATACCCTTTTTAGTTCAAATCTGGACATTTAACAAAATTGATAAAGATAGAAATTTAAATAAGAACATGTTTAAACCTTATAATAAATTTTCAATATAAATAAACATCTGGGATGAAAGTGCACCAATCCTATCCTCGACTCGAGTAAACATGAAATTACACCTTACGGATGGACCCACCAAAATCATTATCCATCCAATAAAAAATTGTTCTGCCAGTAATATGAATCGAAATGACATCCCTGTCCTGAGGTGGCAGCACTCTATCAAGTTGGCCCTACAGGGACGGCCCCACCACCTACGCCTCCTCCGCCCACAGCTTCACAACTTCACTCTGCCGAACCAGAAAACAAAGAAAAAGAAAAAAAACCCCATCTCTAACGTAGAATTGTAATCTAACTTCATTGTTAACAACTGTTCGTTAACCTCCCAGATCTTCAGATAATTTTAGGTTACTGTCTTTCTTGACCCATTAGCGATTTATATTTGATTTTCCATTAATCTCCACAAATTGTTACCTTTTGATGCAATTTTATTTTCTGGGCTACAGAGATTGAGTTCTCTTCTGCTCCAATTGGTATTCGTTGCGATGGATTCATTCAATTGGGTAATCGAAAGACTCCGTCTTTTCTAAATTTGGTCCGTTTTTGATTGAGGGGTTTTTTTATTTTTTTATTTTTTATTTTTATAGTGAATTAGAATGGTGTCTGTGAATCTGGGAATGCTTCATTATGTGTTGGACCATGTTTACGGGGCGTTGTTGCACAGGACCCGGATAAGCCCACCGTTTTTCTCCAGAGGATGGGGTGGGACAAAGCTTGAGCTATTGGAAAGGATGATAAAGCAATGGTTCCCGTATGTTGAAGGGGAGAATTGGCCTCCTGTGTTGGTTGAGCCCATTTGGAAAGTTGTTTGGGAATCCAAGAATGCTGTTTTGAAAGAAGGGATTTTCAAGACTCCTTGTGGGGACGAGCTTCTTGGTGCATTGCCTACTGAGAGTCACACTGCAAGAGTTGCTTTCCTTGCCCCCAAGTTTGTGCCTCCTCAGAGTTTGGCCTGTGTGGTTCACCTAGCTGGTAATGTGGTTCTGAAGCTGTTTCTCCAGTTGATTGCTAATGTTTGAGGTTGCTTTTTCTGGTTTAAAAGATAGGACCTGTTTTTGTTGGCTATGCTGTTTTTAGCTATTACTTAGTTTTTGGTGTCCTGTATATTGAATGAAGATTCTCTTCTTTCCTTTTGTACAGCATTCTGGAAGGTAGAACTATGCCTGAATTACTCCAAATAATTTGAGCCTTTGATTTCTTAATTAGGGAATCCTAAGTTAATATGTCCACGGAGGAACGTTCATTTAGGTGTTTTTCATTGTCTTTAAGAAAGCAGATTAGATTCTCCCAAGTAAAACATTGTTGTCTTTAAGACCCTCCACTGTTTTATTTTGGTTTGTGAAATTCAAATATACATTGTTATCTTTAAGACCCTCCACTGTTTTATTTTGGTTTGTGAAATTCAAATATGTTGATTTCTTTAATGGTGTCCTTTTTTATTTTAGTTTTTACAAACATGATTATTGTTATGGAACAGAAATTAGTTTTTGGACTATTAATACGGTATTGGGAGTTTTAGTTTTAGAAAAATGATTACTGTTATTATGGGATGGAGGTGTAGGGAGTATCAAGCAGGCAAAACAGGAAGTAATGGCTATTGATAATGGGATAGGGAGGATGCATAGAAGCCGCAAGTCATAGTGAAGTCATTGAGTTAAAACAGTCAAAATTCTTCTGAAATAACATTGATGAAACTATCCTTTGCAAATGCATCGGGTGGTTTTTATTAGATTGACCTAGAGAAAGAAAATTATATCACCATGTTGGTGGTCTTTTGAGTTCCTTTTGAGTTCCTTCTGACTATATCAAGAATTGAGATACTCTCTGTCACTTTTCCAAGCAGGCCGTTATTCTTCCCTTATTGCCATAAGAAAATTGGAAGGAACTCTTAAGACGAATAATTAAAACTTATACGGGAACTTGTACTCTGCCGGAGCACAAGGGTGAAACATGATGGGATAAAGGTTTAATTGGTGTTGTACACGAGAACTGATGATTAAAATGGTCTCTTGGTCTGAGTAAACATTGCCGTTCTGTTATCATACGTAACTGAAAGGCGTTTTTTTATACCTATAGTGTTCATATTGATTACTGGTTTAAATCCTTCTTTACTTGCAGGCACGGGGGACCATACTTTTGAACGAAGACTGCGACTTGGTGGACCGTTGTTGAAGGAAAATATAGCAACTATGGTGCTCGAGAGGTAGAGTAAATGGTAGAATTAGTTTATCAGAACAGTAATTGAATTCTTCATTTTTCGTAAACCGTGTCATTGAAGATAAACATATATTGCAGCCCATTCTATGGAAAAAGACGTCCTCTTCTGCAGCGTGGTGCGAAACTCTTGTGTGTTAGTGACTTGCTGGTGTTGGGAAGAGTCACAATTGAAGAGGCTCGGAGTCTTTTGTATTGGTTGGACTGTGAAGCAGGGTTTGGAAAGATGGGCGTATGTGGACTGAGTATGGGTAAGGCTTCATCAGTGTCCTATATGGTAGCATACTGGTCTTAGAATGTTCAAGTTTCCTTAAATTTTGATATTTTTTATTATGCTTTAAGTGACACGGGACAAAGGAGAATAAAACTGAGAGAAAAGTGGAGTGTCCAGGAAATTATCCATGGTTAGTGCCCTGAATAGAGAATCATAGGGACATGAAAACAATTGAGATTGACACAGATTTTGTTTTCTCTGATATCTAGGAGGAGTACATGCAGCCATGGTTGGATCTTTACACCCTACCCCTGTTGCAACTCTCCCATTTCTCTCTCCACATTCTGCTGTTGTTGCATTTTGTGAGGGGGTGCTAAAACATGCCACTGCATGGGATGCCCTGCGAGAGGACCTTGCCGTTGAAAAAGCTGAAATGACACTCGAAGAAGTGAGACAGAGAATGAGAAATGTGCTCTCTCTTACAGATGTTACCCGGTTTCCAGTTCCCAAAAATCCAAATGCGGTTATATTTGTTGCAGCAACTGTAAGTGTTAGATCCTGTTGATTTCGTAGTATTCTATATGTGAAATTGACATGGTTTAATCCTTCGGATTTCTTTGGCCTTTTCTTCGCTTGCTCCTCATTTCACCTTTACGAAGCTTCTTATTTCTATTGCTGCTATTTTGCATGTCTAGAGTGCCTTTTAAACTTCATGTATGAAGTTTTAACCAGAAGTGATGCATACATCGGTTTTTATGTTTTGGATTGGCCAGCAGCTAATTATTAATTGTGCCTAAGCCTAAGATTGGAAATTGGGGTGGTGTTGTTCAAGTTTTGTAGGAGACCCCTGACTTTGGAGTGTTTGTATGAAGGACTTGTTCATAGGTGGAATGTGGCATTGTTGGAAATCTTTATCAAATGCTTTGATTGAGAGGTTTCAAGTTGCAGTAGTTAGTTTCTCTTATCTGCGACTTGTTATGAATTTCAGGATGATGGATATATTCCAAAGCACTCAGTGCTGGAACTTCAAAAGGCTTGGCCTGGCTCAGAAGTGAGGTGGGTTACTGGCGGGCATGTCTCATCCATCCTTCTCCATGGTGGTAAGTTTCGTAGAGCTATCATGGATGGCCTTGACAGATTACCGTGGAAAGAATCTCCTGTATGACGTTGGCATAACTTATGGAGAAGATTGGTATTTTTTCTTTGTTCGAATGCTAACTTCACTTTACACTAAAAATTAATACTTGATTTGGCTCATGAGGGTGAGGTTTATTGAGCTGTGTTGTATTTTTCTTCATTTCCCAAGTTGTGTTTCTCAAAATGGAGTAGATCATGTGAAATACCAAAAATACGCAGAATTGTTACAATTGTATATAAGCTGTGTTACTCAAATTCTCCTCTCAGTGATCTTATTTGATGAATGGATTTTTTGGCTGAGGTTGATTTTGATTTTTTTTTATTTGTTTAAAATTATCTCATTTTGCGAACTACTAGTGAATTTTATTTGTACCTAATAATACCCATGTCAGAGTTTAGGATTTTGGATTTTGTTGTAAAAATGCAAAGCATGACGATATCTACTACGAAAGAACAAAATCAAAATCTTGAGCTAATGCTCTGTTGACGAGCTAAAATGGAAGCCTCTTCTAAGGCAATATATTTCTGCTGGAAATGTGTTTGTAGGAAATCATATACCAACTCAAATTATCAACGCCAAAAATGTCCAACAGTAAAGTAGTCTGCGGTTAGAGGTTGCAAAATTTCATTGCCTATTGACAGTAGTAGCACCTATCATCAGACCATTCACTCAAAAGATTCGAGGTTGGGAATCCGCAGCTAATTAACCCAACTGATCAACTCGGGAAATTTGCAGCTCTGCTATAATTTGCATCCATTCAGTTGTGACTTACATTCACTTGCCAGTTTCCCTTAAACTCTCTCATTGCAAGACACTTTGCTAATCCACCTTAATTAGCTGGCTAGCTTAGCATCAACGTTTTTCCAAATCCTAAATCCCAGACCAAACTCATGTCCTTCAAACCGTGTCCTCCATCTCAACTTCAATAATGTCCAATATTCACCTCCGATCTCCAGCCATTCACCATTACGATCTGATGAATATCAGGAAAGGTGAAGCTATAACAGCTCTGCCAGTCATTTATGTTGTCTAGTAAATGAAAATGGTGGTGTGTTGGCCTGTAGGAAGAAGGACAAAGTAGGTGAAAGGAGTTAATTCGTGATCAATAAATTCCAATCCACCAAAATCTGAGTAATTAACGACCCTCAAAGCTAAAAAGCCTTAAACTTAGAGTTATATGATTATATCTGTTCCTCTATATAATTCCTCCAATGTCTTAGATCTTTTACCGGACACAACCCACTAAGATTTCTTTTTGTTCAGTATCTGTTCGACTATTGCTACACGGACCAGAGTCTTTACTTTTGGCTTACCTTTAGTTATAACTATGCTTGAGATATAAAGTGACAAATTGTTCACAACTTAAAGCATGATGATGAGACTATTTACGGGGTCAAATTCACCAGGGCTCTTTCCGGCTCCACTGTTTAAGCTTCCTGAGTTTGTTGGTAAGCATGTTATCTTCTTCAATGTTATCTTTCAAATTAATTAGAACCCAAATACTTAATGTTCTATACATCTGGTGCGTAGATTATAATCTCCTTCCGACATTTTTTTTTTCTCTTCTTTTTTGCAGCCTGTGGATCAAGAGACATTACATCTGTTGGCCGGAGTGCAGTTTTTAAGCTCACTAGAGTTTCTTGCTATGCTGAAGGTATGTTTTGACTTTTACGCTATGAAATGTGATTGATCCATGTGACTAAAATATAAGTTGATTAAAATCTGATGATACTGAAATCTTACTATATAATTAATAATCTTGTCAAACATTTGGAGGCGGAGGTAGTATTAGTTTCTTGCTGAATGATTACTTTAGTATCCTTACTGTAATTATTTATATGTTTCCATGTATCCCTTTTGATCTGCTTTGTAAGTGCTTATATTCTGCTTTGTGTATTGGTTTTTAACTCGTTACAGTCTTGGAGGGACTGGATTCGATGAGTGAAGAAGACTTGTCTGCGATGGATTTGATACCACTTGAGGGAAAATAAACATGAAGGGTTTTGTTATCCCCGTAGCGAGAGAACCAATGAAAGAGGATAAGGGTGGAGAGTTGTAGCGCATCATAGAGTCCTTCATTAACTACTTTCATCGGTAACGTTTGATATCGAGTGGCCGGTACTGCGATTGTGGATGCCTAAGATCATTGGAAATGTATATAAATATATACACGAGTACAAGTATTGTATACAACTATTCATTAGAATTCTCATGGTGAGAATGTTTTTGTTAAATGAATTTATTTTTACTTTTAAGGTTGTAATAGTGGACAGGACGTTTTATTTATTTATTAATTGTCGGTAAGCTGTGTACTTATCTCATGGAAGGCAACACATTTTCCCACCAGCAGATCGCCGCACAATAATATCCGCAGCTAAGAAAGAACATAGTTCGGAATTATTGCTTGATTTTTTGAGGGGCTAATGGGGGAAGTGATCTTCTTTGTAAGTAAAGAGGTTTCTTACTGACTCACCAATCTCACCAAAGAACCAAGGGTTTGGAGCAAAATGTAATCTACGCCTTCGACTAAAGAACTCAAGACATCAATAATAAGTAGAGGTGAATTACAAACGTTTTAAATAACAAACCAACCAAGTGACAGTATTCGGACAATCAACGCGCGAAATATCCAAATAATTCTCTTTTTTATTATACATGCAACAGACGAACATATGTACATTGTGAATCTTCCAAATGACAAATGCCAAATTAATGAACAAAACATATACTCCTTCCGGCCCAAGATTATTGTCCAGTTTGGATTTTTATTTTTAATGTACCAGAACTGAATCACTTCTCTGCTTGACACACTTGACAATAGGAATGCATAGCATTGAATTTTATTTAGTACCGAAGGCACCTAACATCTGCATATTGTTAGTACTAAGATTCAGCTTTGATTTATAACTCTGACAGAGTTAGCTAGGTAGGTAGATTTGGAGTTAATTCTTTGTTCAATAAATTTCCCTTTTACCACACATCTGAAGAAAACCACCCACATCTGAAATACATTTTGCCTCTATATATTCCTCGGTTTTACTTACATCTTTTACATGACAATCACCGGAAACTTCTTCCAATTATCTTCATTTATATACTTTGCAAAACTTTTGTTCACTGAGTAGTGAGTACCCAGCTCGAGATATTCGGTAACTGCCAGTAGCCGAAGTTTGTATTGTATATTTGCTCCAGTACATAAGTACGGAGTTTAATTACAATCATCATCTTAAGCACATTTTTCTGCATACTTTGCAGCATTCGTATCAACAGTTATGAGATCGGCTCTAGTTGTAACGTGGATCCTGAATTTGAGGTTCGCTAAAGCGCGATATTTAAGCTTTCACGAGTTCCTTGCTAGAAGTGTGAGTTGCAGAGTTGACATGGTTGGATCAAACGTAAACAAGGCTTTATCTTTGAAAAAAGGTAAACACCAAACCCAATTCTTGCTATATGCAATGAAATGTAAATGGTCTTATGTACCTGATCACCTGGCTCTAGAGGTTAAAGAAGTGCAAATTAATGGTGTTCATCTTTGTGACAAGAATATTTCGATTTTGTAAGACTTTCTTACAAACGTCTCATTTCGTGCTTTCAGCCTATGTTGTTAAAACCGGACTGGACTGGCTGGATCGGTTCGACCGGGAATCGAACATGTTACTGGTCCGAGTTTACAACAAAACCTTTTTTGTTAAAAACTGGTCAAACCCGATTAGCCGCAGTTTTATTTTTTTTGCCGAAATCTACACATTGATTTTCATATTTCTTTCCAATCCTCACTCATTTTTCCGAAAATATATACAATTGATATGATTTCAAAATATGTTAACCTTTTAATCATTTATATAAAAGAGGAAACCCCTCAATAGCTAAATCTATCTCCCACTTATGATATTACCACTAATTTATTTTATTTTGTGGGAATAAAAATAAATGACTAAAATTGAATTTTAGTAGATAATGAAGATGAAAAAGAGATTAAAGCTAAAGGGAAGAAAAGGGAAAGAATAGAAATTCGACGAGCAAGGAAGAAGTGGAAGACAAAACGGAAAATAGAAAGATGAAGGTGGCTGGGAGAATGGAGAAGAGGAGAGAAGAAAAAGAAATGAGGGATGGGGTTATCTATTTAGTTTTCATATAAATATGTTATGGTCCCAATAGTTGTTGGAAGTGAATCATTGATATAGTTTTTTTTTTTTTTTTTTTCCTCACTGAAAACTTTTTCGGACCCTTCCTTATTTACATATTATGATTCTCTCGCTCCGTCTTCAGATGAACAATATCACGAAATTCACCTATCCAAAGACCTACGTTATAGAAGCTGCTGTATGTTTGAGACTCGCAAGGTTTTACCGTTGATCCCTATATATATCAGGTACTTGTTAATCACCTATACTTGTCCAAGTTTGAGATATTAATTTACCTTTTTCGAGTATTCAATTGGTTTGCATGAAGTTTACCCGAAAAGAAAAAAGGTGGTACTATATCAGATATGCGTTTAATATGCTCACTTTGTTCGAAAATCATTGTCTAATTTAGATTTCTAGTTTTAGTTCAGTGAAAACCGAAACTGACGATCATTTTGGAGCAAACGAAATAAGTATTAGTTAATGTCGTTGATAAATTTAAGACAATAACTTTTGATATTATTTTTATTTATTTGGGGAGTCATTTCTTTTATTTTTATTTATTTTTTCTCCTTTAATCCCCCTTTTTTCAGATCGGCCTCCGACCACCAATCGCTGCAATCATAGCCAACCAAATCGTCGGAATCCCGACACCCCACCAAGCGGTCACTGCCGCCAACCGGTCTTGGCCTCCCGCCAGATCACTAAACTCGCGGCCTCTGCCGCTGTAACCGCCACCCGCCTCCTGCCGCAAACCGGTCTCCGCCTCCAGCCACACATGCCGAATGCTGCAACACTGGATGTAGCTTCCACCACCCGTGTTTTGACAGGTACATATCTGGAGCTTTTAATCCAGATCTGAATGTGGCACATCGGGCCGCTGCTCTGACGCCTTTCGAGAGGAACCCGCCGTCGGCCTCGCACTCCGCTACCGGATTTTCGGATCTGGTAGTCCCAGTCGTCGGCCATCAATCCAAATGACTGCGTCCCTAGCCCGGATCTCCATCCGTTGCAAAGCGGCTTCACCAGCTCTGTTGCGAGTCGCAGATTTGTCTTCAGATCTGAAGCACAGCCGCCGTTCCACCCGCGTGGCCGACTAGATTGACGACGCCGCTGTCATTGCTGACGGAGGAAGCCTGATGCGCTGAAGTCGGCCGGTCCATTCAAGTCGGCCGGTCCATCCAGTTTTCACAGACCGGATTCAATATAAACCGGCCACCCTCGGTTCTGTTGACAGTACCAGACCGGTCCCTACCGGTTTGTTGGTATCCTTACAAATAAAACAAATCGAATTATATTGTTATTTATATGTCTGTTTTATTGCGATAACTTAAGAATTATATTTTGGCGACCCTGTTAGGGGCAACAGTTTCTGTTTTCTTGTATATCACTCAAAGATCTGGATACGCTATATGCCTATCAATGTGGCAGTTCAGATATGTGATCTTAGAGAAGCGAATCACGATGACAGGAAAAAATTCTGTTGTTTTCTATACTAGAGTTGCCGGAAACATAGTTTTGACGGAACTATCAAAACTGACATCATATATAACTAGTATATTTTTGATTAAGTTGCATTCGAAAATATCAGTATATTTACTGATATTTAAAAGTTCCGTCATCGTATGATAGACTCTCAATTGTATATGGTAAGTTTCAAACACTGCCCTGAAAATTTCTTTATTTTATTTATAAATTCGCCAGATACTGTCCTGGTTTTAATTAAATATATATATATATATATATATATATATTTTAATTGGTATGAATTTCAGGTCATCAGCTGATTTGCAGGAGGGAGCCGTATGGGTACATCCTTGAGCTAGTCTCACTTTGATTTATAGGCTAGACGAACATCGAATGTATCATGGAAACACGTACGGATACAAGAATTGTACATTTATCTTTCGAAATTTTGGGTGATTAATTGTTCTTGTGAACGACTTTTTAGAGGTTATTTTCCCAATGTTTTATTGTATTTTTTTCTCATGGTCCTGAAAGCCAACAAAATAAACTTTATAAATTTGAGTCAACGACATTAGAATATCAAAAAGGTTAGTAACCAATCTCCCCAAGAGAACAATGGTCTAGTTGGATCTTTATTTTTATTTTTTGTTAAATTTACTTTGTATTTTGCACTTCTTCGCTTTGAAAAGCGGCGCATGATTTATTTTTGGAATTTTTTGAAGGATATTTTGAACGCGAAATAAGTTTTCTCAAACACTTTCGAACCACCATTATATATGGACGTCCCACATTATCAAATGGTGTTGATTGATTGAGGGAATGAACGAATACCAAATGTGTCTGTAATTAATTGTTAGGAATTGTGAATCAGTCATCCACATTATTTTTTAATAGAAAATTAATTTTTTTTTCTTGATTATTCAGAGCAATAACTTCGGACACCGAGTGTATAATATACCAAAATTTTTTTTTTCCTTAAAAAAAAATAACTAAAACGTAATAAGAACCTTCTTCTTCTTCTTCTTCTTCTTCTTCTTCTTCTTCTTCTTCTTCTTCTTCTTCTTCTTCTTAATATCTGCAGAGGTTATAGAATGATAACTTGCTTTGTTTGGACATATATCCCATTAACTTACTATCCCCAAAATAATAATAATAAAAATACTAATAAAAATAATAATGTGAAAAAGAAAGTTAATGAGCAATATACAAAATGATGTACATAGGCGAGTCTATTAAACTTACACGCAAACATTTAATAATACGTGGTGCGATTTATAAATTTTGTGTAAGATCAAATCAAATCAACTAGTTACAAGGCAACGACTTTACAATGGCAATACCTTACTCCCGAAGCTCACAAATCGGATGCCCTTTTGCCTATTGGTTCCTAAGTGTCAGACATTTAACAGGTGGGCACACTTGAAATGCTATTCATCGTCCAATCTTAGCGAAGAACTTGTAACTGAGGCTTGTTCAGGCAGTTGCTTCCTTTTGTATTTTATGTTTCTAGCATTGAAATGCATTCTCAGAAGTGTTTTGGAAAAATATTGTAGTCTAATTATGGACAAAATAATATTCTTTCATATTCTTAATATAAGCCATTTTGATTTGTCATACGTTTTACTTAATACACGTTTTTAATTAAGAAAAAAAACCTTAAAAATATTTCTTAAGAATTAAGAGAATACAATAAATGTGAATATATATTTTTAAGATTTTTTTATTAATTAAAAAATACGTATTAGATGAAATTGAGGATAATAAAAATGCCTTATATCTAGAACCAGAGGGAATATTTCCGGACAAACCAACGTTTACCATGGCCATTGTTGTCACGCCCACGACTTAGGCAATGGGCGAAATGGCAATAACACAGTCCGATGGGTTATTACAAGTGGCGGTGAATCTAATTAAATTCTATTGTAGCATGCATAAATACACTTTCCAATCCTGTATAGTGTATATCATTGATTTTCATTTTTAAATTAATTTCTTTTCACTGCGCTCGAGATCATCAATATCAATTTACGCAAAATCAGAATTTTTTTTTAAACAATATAGGTGGTTGAAACTTTTAACTAAATATCAAAATATTATAATGTTTTATGGGTATATAACACCAAAATCTTTGAGTTCTACTCACAAAAAGATTTAAGACGGTGGAATATGTATATGTTGATACCCTCTTGGAATAAATACTTGTTACTAAAAAAATCAAATAATTAGGTATAAAATTTGCCTCCCAAATAACAGTTTTGGTTCTACACGATCCAATCTTTGCTATTATAGTCCCTAATCCCAAATATTATCCCCATGATGTCACCGCCTTTAATAGTTTTATTACAATTACATTTTGATCAGATTCACACATCTCTTTCAGCTCTTTTTAAGATAAATTCCAAAGATAACTTGAGACCTGAATGAGTCCTAAGCTCCAATCCTAATATCATACTAATGAAGCCCATATTCATGATAGAGACACCACACATTAGAATAAAGTTTGTTTTAAAAAGAAAATTTCAACGTGATAAAATCTTACTTTGTTCGTACCAACCAATTTGACCAATACCCCCGGCTGACGAAAAAAAAAAGAAGAAAAACTTCAATACTGACCAAATGAGCTGAGGGCTAGGTTGTTGCAACAAGAAATCCAATATTAAGAGGCACTGCACTGCGTTAAATTTGTATAGGACGTCCAAGCCATTAATTTGTAATAAAGTTCAACTTTAATTTAACTATCTCTACCATTTCACATAGTGATTTTAAATGTGCGATTAAATAACCAAAGACCTAGGTTGTGTACGTAAATTTAGTGTTGTTATCGTTGGCCTGTGGGTTGGTTGGGAGGGCAGAGTTGAGTGGGAAAATTTAATTATTGTCCTGCTAATTTCCCTTCTATCCATTTAATACCAAACCCCTCCACGTCTCTCTTTTATACTCTTTTCGGGTGGTCTACACAAATTAACGCTAAAATTAGTTCAAATTTGTGTATCATAACTAGGATATACTCCCTCGTGTTTTTATACATCTTTTGCCCCCACAATCCCCCTGAATCTTCTTACATCTCATTACTAATCATCATTTTTGTGGGTAAATTTTTAGGTGAACTGATTAATTTTAAGGGGATACTGATTATTGAGAACTCAGTGAATGATGTTGAATTTGAGGATAATCAGTGCTTCGAATCCTGCTCGAATCTCGGGTTGGGCTTTCTTTCTAACTCTCCCAATTTGAGCTTCTCGTGTTTGTTGCTACGTATGTTTTGCTCTTTTCCAGGGATTATCGTACTACACATGGATTAGCTGAAATCAAATTAGAGTATGTACGAATTTTGTTCTGTTTGTTTATAATCTTCTTACTTCTTTTTTCTTTGTTTTTCCCTTGTAGGTTGCCTTGCAGCTCTTTCAACCGTAACGAGACTGGCTCTTATTATAATACGGATCCCGACTTCGCTTCCCTATTTCAGTTTTCTATAATTCCTCGCTACAATGTAAGTTTTATATTAATTCTGCGAAAGAATTTTTCTTCTTTTTTCACAAAATTGAGCCTACACATATAAATTAAAGTCAACGTATACAGAGAAGCTAGTTATTGAGTTGATAAGTAAGAATAGGCCATCGGCAGAATGACGTACCTCCGGCTGGTCGTGTTAACGAATGACCGAAGGTTCCAACTTCCAAAGAACCAGCTAGTTTAGTTAATCAGAAATTCTTCTTTTCTAAAGAATCAATTATCAGTAAAACATAACTGATCTAAATTTGGATTGGATCTAATTTTGATCCGAACCAAAAAAAGTCCCAACACACTATATTATCAAAAAAATTGTTATAAAAGAATTGTTATGAAAGAGAAAACAAAAAGAGCTAAAATATCTTCTTTCAGGGCCAGCTTGTTGCAGATGTGGAGTGCCTGATCCTGAGGAGGTGATTCACGGTTGAAGTTTGATTGGACTGCCATGTTTTTGATGTATAGAACGTACTAGTCTTCTAGCTAAGACCGTAAATGCCACAACTAGTTAAAAACTTCCAATGGTTTTTGACTACTGCAGAACTAGTATAGACCGATGATATGGCACTAGGAATTGTGTTACTGTTTAATCATATGCTAGTTGTATTATACCTCTATCCAAGAAAAATAATCAATATTATTAATTATGAATTTTGTTACTCTCTGTCCCATAATTATTGTCCAGTTTGAGTTTTCATTTCTAGTTCAAATTATATTAAAAGTAAAATCTTAATCAGGACAATAATTTTGGGACAGAGGGAGTATTATTTTAATACAATTTATAATTAAATTGTATAGTTATTATTTTTGTAAGACCGAGAGTACTAAGTGCTTGTTTGGATAACGTTTTGTTTTAGTTTTTGATTTGGATTTGAGAAGAGATTTAAAAGTTAGTATAGTTTTTTATTTAGAAAATATTATAGTATAGTGACCATTTATGAAATTAAAATAGTTCAGCGACCAAAATGAAAATTTTACAATAGTATAACGACCAAATACAAGATTTTATCATAGTTCAGTGATCAAACGCAACACTTTACAATAGTTTAGTAACCAAACGCAATGAAGACTTTACAATAATTTACTG